TTCGGTGAGACGATTAATCTTATCGATGATCGCAACAGTCTTGATGCACTTCCGAATGGCTGCATTGAACCTGGCTTCGAGGATGTGGTACTTACATTCCCCATCCAGTTCATCAAAGGTCTTTGCCTTCTCGACTTCAGTTAGCCAATTGATGACGTAAAGTCCATCATAGCTGTAGGCATTGCTAACAGCTTCCTTCATATTGGCTATCCATACCCTCAGCCCAGCCGCGTCGGGCTCTGGCGGGAGGTCTATGGAAATGCATTTAGTCGCAGCTGTACAGTTCGGATCATGGTGGCTACCGTACCCGCCGCCACCAGTTCCGAAAAGATGCTGCGGAACCTGAGAACTACCGATTGACAATGCACATACAGGACAAAGGCGAGTAGCCTTCGGAATGCAAATCTCACATGCCCTTTTCATGCATATCTTACATTCCTCAATTTTGCTGGGGTCAGGAATATCCCGATCACACATCCGACATTTCTTGTCAGGAGGATCGGGGCCACGCATGGTCGGCGGCTCAAGGCCCGAAGGATCCTTCGGCCTTGTACCGTTGGGATCAAATCCTGGATAATATCCGGTTTCACGTTTATCCAGGGGCACGGATTGCGTAGCCTTCGGAGGACTCTGAAGGTTAGCCGCGTTGGGTTGACCTCCATTTGGGGTATCACGGAATCTGTCAACGGGTGGCCGCAGAGGCGGCGAGAACGACCGCGTCGGGTTCGTCTCAGGTACGCCTCCAGGCGATCTATTCCTGACACGGTTACCATCGGGATCCCTTCTTCTCCTAGTCTCATCCCTGAGGCACGCAAGACAACAGGGACCCTGGACAAATCCAAATCTCCTGTAATCATCCTGCCCAGCAGAATGTCTGGTGCAGTAGTATGTCTTGCAAAACTGACACTCAATTCCCTTGGTCAGGAACGAGCTCTCCCTACAGACACCACATCGGGGTCCGTTACGGGAACATTCTTCACACAGGTTCTCTTTAAATGAGAAACAATACTCACAAATATCACCTCTGCATCCCTTGCAGTGAAACTCAGCCACGAGATGATTATACCCATCACCTACATATTTACATCTGGGTTTACCAGGGTTGCCAGGGTTCCCACCGGCAGCACTCTTCTTCCCCCCTCCTCCTGGGCCTTGCCAATCTGGAGGAGGAGGTGGTGGAGGATCACCATCAGGAGGGCCAGGTGGAGGTGGCCGCTTATCCGGAGTACGGGACGCGGCTCGCCTTCCTCCTGTGTGATCGTTCAATCCACTACTTGAGGCCTGGTTCGAGTGCCTTGACTCGAGGGAGTTAATTCTCTGGGCCGTATTACCCAGCACCTCGAGCATTTGCTCGAGCTTACTGTTGAGCGTAGTCGAAACAGCCATGTTATGAGTATTCTGCTTGTCCGTGTAGGATTTGCAGTCCCTTGACTTCATCTCAATCATAAAGTTGGTCTTTAACCCACTTTATGCCGTCCCTATTGTTGGTCCAGCGTTGTTCGACATCTTGCATCATCCTATCAATCTGACATACCCTAGTGGACAGGTCCTCGATTTTGAGGTTCACTCCACCAATAGCAGGATGGTTGGATTGGCTCTCCACTAGAGATCTCTCGATCATATCAACACGAGCTATAAGCCCGGTTACTCGATCAGAAAGAGATTCAAAAACAGTTTGAACCTGGGTGATGGAGCGAGCAACATCATCGTAGCTGGCTCGCTCGTTTAGGGCATCGCCTATGCTTATCATGCGATCGGCAACGATCTTGACGCGTTGGCCAAGCTCGGTCACGATGTCCTTAGTCCCTTGTGATAGCTGCATGGCCGCGTTCGCAGCCTGCGTACACGTGCCACTCATATGGACGCATTGGTCGTATTTGGCCCTCCACGAGCTAACCTCAGTGGAGAGCTGCTTGATGCATTGATCACTTCTATCATTCCTACGACCAAGGTCTTCGACCTTAGCAACCAGGCGATGAAGAATTGCACTTACCGAAGAGTCCACTCTCCCTCTTTCAAGGGCTGTTACAAGATCAGCAACCTCGTTGGGTTGCTCCTCATTCGTAGGACCAAATCCTGACCCGCGATCTCGAGGAGTGGACAAATCAACCATGATTGGATTAGATCTCGGAGGAGTTCTGAAATCATCCTGCACGGCCGTTGATGGCCGTGGGAACTCACTCCGATTAGGAGATTGACTCTGATACGGAGCAGATCTCCTAGCATCACGAACCGCAGAGGGTTGTGTCATGCCCAGGCCTTTGGCCACGGGCAGTTTAGGAACAACAGGCCTATCCATTCGCATAGGAACATCAGGTCTCGAGTCAGCAATAACAATGTCATTCAAGTCGGTCGCATTGGACACTCTAGATTCAGACATCGACTCAATATCAGTCGCATTACTGATAGTATGATTGCGACTGGAACTTGATGCCATCATGGACTCAGATTCTATCGGAACATTAGTTCCGTCCATGTCGTCCAGAGCGAAAATGGAAGCCGCATTGGGCGTAGGGCGAACACCTTGGGCATTCAAGCCACTTGACCTATTAAATTCCTCCTGGAATGCTTCGATCCCATCAAGCACGTTAACGAGTGTGTCTGCGTTTAACGGGTCTCTACCAACGATCGACGCTGGATCACCTGATCGACCGCGTCCTGAGTCCCGCGCACTGGGGTTACCCCTGTGGGCAGTTTCCCGATCCATCCCCCTTGCCCTATGCGATCCAGTCGAATTTGACCTTGATCGTTTGCTTGGGGTTGGACTGGGATGCAAATCCAATCTATCTACGATATTACGCTCCCTAGGGCTCTCAAATCCTGAAAGTCCTGGGGGAGGGGACATGTTCCTCATGGTCGGGTTCACCGACGGCCTTGGCCTAACGTTACGGCTGGCCATGTCAGGATTGAGATTCTCAATCGACAAAGGTAGCATGAATTCATCGCTTCCAGCAGCCCGTTTTGGGCTTTGGAATTGCGGGAAAGATGACGGGGCGGGTGGCCCTGGCATCCATGCGGCAAAATCCATACCAAAAATGTTTCCGTCGTTGGGCCATGAGGCTCTCCAATCGAGCCCACCGGACTCGGTCGGCAGATGAACATCAAATGCAACTCCACTCGATGTACCAGGTTCGGGATTACCGAGCACTTGAAAAGCTATGCTACTGGTTGGCACAGGTCTACTGCTACCTCGAGAATCACGAAACTCGGACTGACCAATATTCATCAGCTCCGGGAAAGATGAGGATTGAGCTCCAGGTGCAATACCGGGCTCGTCATCATCACGTCCTGAGACGGAATCATCATGGTCAGGACGATTAGCCCCATGACCCTGAGAGCGATTAGCTCTTGAGGCATTAGACGATAGGTCATCAGTGCGAGTAGCACTGGACCTTCCTGAAGGCATTGCTTCTGAAAAAGTATGGTCCGACAAAAGGTCAGGACCGGAAAACATCGGCTGTCCGGGCACCTGGTCGTCATTCACAACGTCCAAGATTCCGGCCTGGCCGAGAACCCATTCATCAGTCACCACATGAGGTCCATCCTCAGTGATTCCTGCCATCGTATATACAGTAACCTACAGCGCCTGCAGGGTTGTTAAAAAGGGGTTCGCGGTGCCAACCGAGGACGAATCCTACGGCTGATAACCTGCGAAAGGGTTTGAAACAGAGTTTCGGGAGAGAATAAACAGGCCCAATCCCACCAACAAGAAGAGATTGTTTAAGTCCCCCAGTCCCAAGGGCAAAGCGGTGCCCTCGGCTGGCCAAACACGAACCAAAACAGGGTGCCAGTTGTAACAAGGTAAGAAAGCCCAGCAAGGGCAGAGACAACCGAAAGCAAGCACAAAGCAGCAAACCAAGCAGGCAAACAATGCAGCGAAGCAAGCAAAGCAAACCAGTGCACACCAACCCCAACCAGACCCCCGACCAACCTCCACCGGGAACACCACCACAGGCGCTCGGCAGCGGCACTCTTTGCCGGAGACGAGCACGATGTGCCGCGGTGCGCGGTGACGAAATTGCAAGGGCAAGTTGCCGGATTGAAAAGCTTGAGCCAAACGGCGCATTGGCCGTGGCGTGGAAACATGTTATGATAAAACTACATGCCCCCAAAAACAGGTTGTAACCATTCACCCTCTACAGAGTCTGTTTTTGAGGGGCACCCTTTTTGGGTTTGGTTTAAAGGGGAGCCCATTTTGTAGCGAAATGTGTCAAGGGCCAAGGAAAAACCCAGGTTTTAGAGATTTTAGAGCACCTTTGGTTCGGGAAACCAACAAAACTGAATTCTGTTCGGTTGTGAAATTCTGAGGCTAAATCCCCCATTCTCTCGACCCTAGTTGATGCGCCTGAGAAGCGGAAGAAACCTGCCCGGCAGGTGAAAACGGGCCTTGGTTTTTCGGTTGGCTTCCCAAGGGAAGCCACCCTGAAAAGGGTATCAACAAAAATGCACACAGACAAACACGTTTGTTTCAGGGAACCCCAAGGTTGCTGAACCAGTTTAAGGGTCGATCACGTCGTTCTCTTAGAAACCACCGATTTCCCCGGGGGCTTCGGAAATCCAATTTGTTAAAGAGAAGGATCCTGAACCGAATGGGGAAGGTCCCGTGTTCTTCTCAAAACATGGCGGACCCCTTTTTGGATAGTTCAGAAAACACAAAAAACGACACCCTCCGAGGCACCCTGGCACCCGGCAAGCGGTTTCAAGAGAAAATCGCTCTGTCAGGTACCCAGGTGCCACGTGAAGGCGAACTACAACCAAAGACAGCCCTGAGTCTTTAAATGATGTTGAAACCCAAAGGACAACGTCTAGGTCCACCCACCCACCCACCCACCCACCCACCCACCCACCCCCCAAAAACTCCCCCCACCAATTTTTGGGCCCCCCGAAAAATCCACCCAGGCCCCCACGCTTTTTGACGCCCAAATGCAAAACAAAAACAAAAAACGTCCAGACCGGAGCCCAGGCCGAACGAGGCCCAGCCCCGGCCGCCGGGTTTTGTTCTACCCGAGCGCCTTCAGGGCGCTGAGGTGCAGCGCGTCCTCGCCCATGCCCAGGAAGAGAGCGCCTCGACGCGACTTCCGACGAAACCCAACGACGAAACCGCGAAAACCGCTCCCGAGCGCAAGTGGCCGAGCAGAAAAGTGTTCCCCCCCACCCCCAAAAAAAAACACGGTCGAAACCCAGCGGCCGAAAACGAAAGCACAGCTCCCAGCCCTCGACATGTCTTGGTTTTTCAAGGGCAAGAGGAAGTGGCGCGGGTTCTTCATTGGGCCTGGGGGCTTGGAGCATTGGACTTTGACGTTGGGTTTGGGGAGCAAAAATCGAAGAAACAAATAGCAGTTCAGTGGATTTGGATTTCAACCACTAAACCACAATAAGATCAAAAATGTAAAATGCAAATCCCAACAACAACCATGTGGAGGGCTCAAGAGTTTTTAGGGCGCTTATGCTGAGTTCCCCAAAAAAAACGAGACGTCCAAGTCCGCAACGGGCGAAATGGGGCGTCCGAAGAAAACTTCCGCAGGCAAAACTGGACGCAAACTCCTTCGAGGGACTCCGCTGGGCTGTCCAGTCCTTTTGTTGGAATCTATTCGTTGAATTAACACTAAAAGTCCCACTGAACACTAAAAGTCTAAGCCAAGGAACCGGATGGCTGAAAGCCACCAAGCTTTTTCAACCGTGCATGTTTGGGGCCGCCCTACTGTGGATGGACAACATCCTGCACCGCAGTTTCTTTGGTGCAGGATTTCGTCCATACTAGGACCTGCGCAGGAACCGGTGCCTGCAAAAACCATGTGCATCTTTGAAGGGGGCCGGTTCCTGTGCAGGTTCCATGCTTGCTTTTGGGAGGGTTCTCCAAGAACCTGTGTCCGACAGGATCACCCCGCAAAAAAGGCAAAAAAATCGCCCCATACGCCGCTCTGGCGCAAAAAATAGTGATTCAAAGCCTTCTACTTGGGATGACCATGGACTTTCACCACAAAAAGTGAAACTTTCACCACATGGGAAAAGTTACCAAGGGTCAATTGGGAGCCGAACAGAATATTGATCACAACCCTGTGTTTAACTGCCGCAAAATGAGAAAAGCTGTACCCATCGCGGCTATTGAAAGCTGCTCTGGAAAGGACGCCTCGTCTCGAAACAGCGAAGCCCCCCAAAAATGCGCTGCCCTTTGGTCATCATTTGAAACCATCTGAAACAGGGTACTGGTACCATCGAAACAAGGCACACCCAATTTGACCCATCCAAAAAAAAAGCCATAGACTTTATCTGCATCTCTGACCAACAGGAAAACCACAAATTATGCGGGGTTGCCCATTTTGAGACACGACCATATGTACCGCTTTGTTTGAGAAATGTACCCGAGAAGTTACTGAACAGCAGCAAAAGGATTGCCTTCTGTCTCGAAATGTTTCTTGGGGAGGCTTTTCGGTTTTTGGGTCAGTACGCTGGATGGACAGTCTCGTGCACCAGTTGGGACGGAGGAATCTTCAGGGAACTCCTGCTCAGCTGGTTCGTGTCCATCATTCGCCATGCTCAACTGAGAACTTGCAAGAAACGCGCAAGGTGCACTCCGCAGCGGTGCAGGATTTACTGAAAATAACCGCAAGACGCCCAGATGCGTGCCCAAAGCATCCTTTAGTTTCATTGAAACCAAGCCCCAAAAAGGGGCACCGAGCTTCAAAGAAAACCAACCACACGCGCACACACAAACACAATCACTCCCCTCAACCGTCACAACACTCAGCCTTTGCCTATCAATCGCTGGCATGGGCAAAGTAAGGGGAAGCCAAACAAAAACTGTGGCCCTTGAGGCTCCGGCCGTGCCGTGGCAGCGGCCCGGGCTCCTCCGGTTTTGCGGTTGCCCGCTTGGCGCTTCGCTTGGCGCTTCGGCCCGAAAGAGTCCCGAACAGACCAACACGAGTGCTCGAGCAAAATGGCGGTTCAAAGAGGTTCCACTAATTTCCCGTTCCTCCGACTCCAAGGGGTGTGTGGGCGGGGGGGAGGGTGTGCGGGGAGGGGGGGAAAGGGGGATGCGAGCAGTGCGTCTCCCGAGTAATGATCGCCAGTTCATGACCAGTATGTCTATCCAAATCACACTCATTCCTATGGCCAGAGTGTTGGCTGGTCAGATTGAAATATTTAGCATGATTTCTGATCAAGATCCTGACTGATGACTATTTGGAGACCGACCCTCGCTCTTCCCGGTCGATGTCTATTGGTTACTGCCAGGGGTCGTCAAGGACCATTAAAGGGCATTGGTGGTGACGCAAACAAACAAACAAACAAACAAACAAACAAACAAACAAAAACTGCACTTGAATATAAAACTCTGCAGGCTCGCTCAAGATCAATGCCTCGCATCGAGTTGGCACCTGTTGGGGGTTGTTGGTTTAAAAGGGCAACCAGAAAGAATTTGAAGCATTCCCAGTGCTTCCAGGTAAGCCACTATGGCAGGTAATCAGGATTCCTTACCTGTAGGTTCTACATGATGGCCGTTGTTCTAGGGAGGCGAACCCTAGTTCCCCAACTTGCCATGGATATAGGTGTGGTTGGTAAGACGGACCAAAGCAAAGGACCAAACAACCAACAGGGATCCTTACATTATACACCTGAACATTGCCTTGTAAACGGTGGTGTCCCTTTATTTTGGCCGGAAAAAGTAACATGTTTCAATTGGGCAAAGTGTACCTGACCAACCAAACAGTTACAACGACCAAACAGTTGCCATGGATATAACCGGTTGAAACTAAAACTAGAGTCTAAAAAGGAGAAACCAAAAGGTCAGATCCGGTCGATTCGCTTTGGGCAACTGAGAATAGCGCTCAAGCATTTCCCCGGCTCCTCCAGGTCGATGTCCGGCACCTGCAGCTCTGTAGACTTCTCTGTGGCGTTCGCCGCGCCCCGCACCACCGCCACACGCACGCCGTCCGCCCCGCGCCTCGGGGTGGAAAGACTGCCGGGGGACTTCGGGCCCCGGGGAAGTGGGGCTGGACAGTGGGGCTGGGAGGACTTTTTGGGACGATGCCGGAGCACTTGGGGATGCAAAGCTGGATGCTGGTGATGCTTTGGGATGGGATGCTGGTGAGGTTGGCGATGAGGGGATGTTGGGTCGCAAGGCCACAGACGTTGGCTGCCCTATCTGATCCAATCCTAGCTGACTGAGTTTGGGCGCCCATGTGACATCCTAACCAAATTCTTCCAGCTCTTTTGGAGTTAAAGAAAAGGAATGCTGCTTTCAGGTTTAGCAATTCGAATTGGCATCCTCAAGATGAGTCCCAAATGGTGTGTCAAAGGGAAACCACCAGGACTGAAAGGTAATTTTGAGAACCCTTCAAAATGCAGCCGCTTTCAAGGGGCCCAGCTCAAGGACTGAGGTGTTTCACTGCAGAGTGGGGTGGCTCAACCCCGTGTTCAAACTATGAGGCTAGCCTGCCCACTGAAAATGCCCTGTTGATTCCCCGAAGGGGCAAAGAGTTAAGGTTTGAGAGTGTCCTCAGATCTGACTTCCAAAAGGTTGCAGGATTGAAGGTGACGCCGAAAAACGCACGCAGACCATCAGCATCGGATGGTGATTGTCTGCCGGCAACTGAATGTACCACTGACCGCAAGAGTTTGACCGAAACATTGACACAATTCGTTATGTGAATTAACTGACGCCAACAGATGTGATGCGACTAGGAATGCGCTCAAGACTGCCTGTTTTGTTCAACCGAAACTGGGAGGCTCCATCTTCTCCCCCTGAACCAGAAAAATGCGCTTCCCCGGTGCTCCGATCTCTCACCCGGAGTCATCCGCCATGCCTCAAGCCCACAAGTTGAACCTCAAAGGGGCAACTGGAGGGCTTGGGTCTGCAAGCCGGGAACCCGGAGAAAAAGCGCAGAACTTCGGTATCTTCCGCCGACCTGGGCCATTCATGGCTTCCCCTTACCTGACCTCAGATCCTGCGAAGCAAAAAGGTAAGCTTTGGGTGAAATGGACCCCAACCTGAAAACCGGAATCGGACGCTTGGGAACCACCAAGTTACCAAGTGAGCTTGCCGAGCACCAGGGTTGTGGGACCGCAAAAAAAATCCTCCCCCACGTCTGTGATCTTGGGAAACCCTCCCGTTGTACAGATTCGTGGATTCCAGTTCAACTGAAGCAACCCCCGGGGAAAAAAAACAAAACAAAAAAAACAAAAAGAAAACTAAAACAAAAAAAGGACCGCTGAACGCCAGAGAGAGAGAAACAAAAAAAAAAAAAAAAACGAGCCCCCCGCATTTAAAGAAGAGGCATCCGGAGAAAAAAAAGGACATCTCTCTCGCCCAGGGCGCATGTAGCTGATCTGGGGCCACAAGTCGTTGGAGATCTGCAGCTTCCTGCCCAGTCACAAAACGACCCCCCCATTGGTCCCGGTTTTCGAAAAGGGGCTGCAGGGAACAAACAAAATCCAGGGATCAAAACCTCCAAACGGAGAAAACCACAAGAACATCCAAACGGAGAACTTCAGATGGCTCCAGGAAGCAAATAGACATCGAAAAGGAGAATGTCAGATGGATGGTTTTCCGAAGGTGGAATGGCAGGCAAAAAAACAACCACGCGGAGAAGTTCAATGGATGGCTGCAGGAAACAACAAGAACATCCAAAGGGAGAATTCCAATGGCTGGTTTTCGTAGGTGGAACCCTGGTGTAGCAGCCCTGAACCAGAACCGTGGTGTAGCAGCACTGGTGTAGCGGTGTAGCGGCACTGGTGTAGCAGCCCTGAAGTGGAACCCTGGTAGTCAAAAAGTGGACCCCTTTTGGCGTGGGATCGAAGGGAGCAGCCCAAAAAGATGGCACAGCCAGTTCAACTTGGTGCTGGCATGTTCAAATGAGGGCTAGGTCTGGTTTGGATTGGTGGTCTGGGGATCTGAACTCCTGGTTCTTGTGGAGGGTAGACGGGAAACCCCTCCCCCACTAATCCAAACCACCAAATAGAGAAAAGCTGAATGGTTTCAAAGTGGTGCAAATTGGATTTCGCGACCATCCAGAAGCTTAGTTGGTTTCGGAGGTTCGACGCCGGTACCTGCACCATGGGTCAAACCACTGTTTGTTGGCATTCACAGGGGAATCATCAAAAACCAGGGTTCTGTAGGTGGTGCACTAGTGCGTTCATCCACAGTAGGGAACCAACCCCTATATCACTGTAACAATGGCAAACTCACCGAACGCATGAACACCCAGGCTGGGCTTTGTTGCTTTTTAGCTGAGCGACCCATCCTAAAACGAATTTCTGTGGCAACTTGCCAAAAGATGGTTTTTGTCATGGGGCCTTGGGCTTTCCTAAAAGCCGTGCAATCCAAGGGTTGCCATGGGTTGCTGCTGTTTTCCCTTTAACCCACCAGAAGGGGAGAAAACCATGAGGCACCCTCCCAACCTTGCATCCTCGTGCCAGGAAAAGGTCACGTGACCACCTTTAGGCGCCATGAAAAATGGTCGCCAGAAAAATGGTCACTGCAAAATCTCAGATCCGAGATCCGGCCGATTCGCTTTGGCAAGGCGCTCGTGGGTTGCTCGTGAAAACCAAATTTTGACCCCGGGGTGTCCAGCCTCTTGGCCGACCGCAGCGCCAGCTGCAGTGGCAAGTCCTTTGGCCGCAGCACGTGCACCTCCGGCGACGGCCTTGGGTGAAACGAGTTGCCGAAAAGTCGAGAGACATTGTACCAGGTGGTTACCTTAAGGTTTGCTGGAGTTTGTTTTTGCAGTTGTGCTCTGTTTTGTTCTCATATGTTCAACAGGGGGTTTTCAGCTTCTCCCCCGGACAAATAACCAGGTGGTTTACCACAAGATCAGGTCCAGGTTCACACCAGGTTGACAAAAAGTCAACCCATGAAAAAACACCCCCCTACTCCAAATACCCTCTTGTCTAGGCAGTTGTTAGTAAAGGGTCGAGGGTGTAGGGGGGTGTAGGGGGCACAAGAGGGCTGCTCTCAGGGGCCTGTCGCACGTTGCTAGAAAGTTGGTCCCAAACGGAAAACTGTATCCTTATTTTCACGGTTTTCGGTGGGCTTTTTCTGTGAAATACATGTCTTGAATCCCATGCGTAATAAGCTTGCTAGTTTGAATTAAAAACATTCAGGTGCGCGTTTTGGAGCATCTGTGAAATATTTCAGGGCGATTCCTCTTTCTGTTCACACATCTTGAGAAACCAGCCATGTTCCCCGGAGGGGCCAACATCTCTGAAGAGAGGCCGGGATCGCAGAAGAGAATGGCGAAATTCAGCTTCCCTCCTATGGGTGGTTTGGATTGGTTGTTGCATGGTTAAGGAAGAATTTCCCATTTACCCTGCAAGCGCCACGGGATCCCCAAACCACCAATCCCAACCACTGAGGCTTACCTGACAATAAATTGGGAGAATCGAGATTGAATTTGACAAAACTCCCTGGACACAATCTTGCATTTGGAGGCCGAAATTCCTGAAGAAAAAGAAGCCCAAAGAGAACGGGAAAAATCGACTTTTGATTGTCCCAATGCTTCCAGTTACCACTATAGTAGGTAACCAGGGGAAACCGTCACGTAAAATCTAGAGGTAAGAAACCCACAATGAATTGAAAAAGATGGACTTGTCTCAAAATAGGACATTGCCCTCAAAATTTGTGGATGTCCCGTTTCCCTTTAAAACCACCAACAAAAGTACCAGAAAAAAAACACACAGCCACTGAAATGGGAAAAGGGGAAACTCCAGGGAGGGCAATCCCTGGAATCCCAGGAAGAGAGAACCACATGGACATGTGCCGAAGACCCAAGATGGGCGTTTCTTCCTTTTGGTTTCCCTTTCAAACAAACGGCAAAGTCTCTCCACGTCAAGTTGGTGCCTGGAGAGGGGGGCTCTTTCCTTTTGGTTTCCCTCTACAACCACCCAAAAAGGGTTTTGGGCGGTGAGTAGGGTTGCAAGTGGAGTTGGCTACGTACGTTGCTTAAAGTTAGCTCCCCGAATCCCAAACCGTCTCGAAAAACAATTTGAGACTGGCGTAACATAGTTGTGCAGCTTTACATGGCTGTGATTGAGAGTCATAGCCATAGAGGTGTTCAGTGAATTCCCGATCAAACTAGGTAGTTGAACCACCAATAGCGCTGTTCACCGGGTCTTTTCACCTGTCCCGAATCACCTGCGGCCTGTCCCATCAACGTGGGTGTTGCTTACACGATTCCTCACGATTCCTCAGGGTTCCTGCCGGATGACCGCCCTGGTTTGCTGACCGCCCTTTCTTGACCATGCAAAGCAAACCCTGTGCCTGTGAACAAGCGAAACAGTCGGAACCATGGCCCGATTGTCTCGCCCCCTTTCTCCCACGTCCGACCTTTTTCGTCCAGCCAGGGTGCCGGTTCAGCTCAGTCTGTGAGTGACTGAAGTAAGCCTCTCAGCCAAGCAAATGTTGCAAGGGACCTTCAGAGGTTCCGTCCTAGCTCCTTACGTCCAGATCAGGTGCTTCACAAAAACATCGGAAACCACATGGTACCTCTGCGGTATGAAGATCTGTAAGAGAAGCCCTTGCCGCATTCTCCCCTGTTCGTCTACCAAATGGTTGGTTTACTTGAGTTTCCTTCTGTTCGCTATGTGTTTGGAGGGCCGATCCGTCACTATAGAAACGCCTTCTTGTGTCTTGCCGTGCGAGCTTTGGGCGATGGAATCTGGGCCGCACCTTTGACTTAACAAGTTGGCCGTTGGGCTTACCCTTGCCGCCTTTGCCTTTTGTTCTTGAAAAAGGCAGCCGTCGCCCAGTGACCCCCGAGCTGAGAAGTGGGGACCCACCAAACAGAATTCGTGCTGAACTGAGCAGCTAGGTTTGCTTCCACCATTTGTTTGTCGGCAAGCATGCTCAAAGGGGGGTGCCGGCTTTTTGGGTTCGTGAAAAATGCAGAGAAATTCATGGCCGATTCTTCAGGGTCCTACCTCCATTCCAATACCCAACCTGAAAGCCAACCCTTCGCCTCAAACAAATAAATTCGAGCCAGCCATGTACTCCTCCCACTAGCATAGCCGTGGGAGATGAGCAAAATGATGGTTGTTCTTTTTAGTTTCCTTTTAAAACCAACCCCAAAAGTACCCTCAAAAAAAGACAGACCAACATGGAAGTGAACCCAATGTTCCCCTGCCCAGGGCAATTTTGGGGGCACGTCGCGCCTTCAGCATGTCCCCTGTGTTCGAGCTACCCTTCGTCGGCAGCAGCACCACATGCCTTAGGGCGCAGACTCTGGAACCAGGTTGGATCGAGCTGGTTGAGAAAATCATATTGCCCCATACTCATCAACTCCACTTTCGGGTACAAAATTGTATGTTCAAATTCATACGGGTATCACTCATAAACGTGGAACCCAGGAAGGCACCTTGGTAAATGGACCCAAAGACGCCCAGTAAGCCTACGGTGGACGGAAGAAATTCTAACAAATCCAGGGGGTCTCAAAATTAGGAGCCCCTTTTCAGATGGTCTTGATGGGGAAACAACCGTAAATCAACCCCAAACCCTCTCCTCAACCTCACCCAAACTCCCAAACCCCGACCCCCCCCCCCAACCCACCCCCGCCCCACCCCAACCTCCCCAACCTCCCCAACCTCCCCAACCTCCCCAACCTCCCCAACCTCCCCAACCTCCCCAACCTCCCCAACCTCCCCAACCTCCCCAACCTCCCCAACCTCCCCAACCTCCCCAACCTCCCCAACCTCCCCAACCTCCCCACCCTCCCCAACCTCCCCCAAACCACCTGGCCTAGGGGACGCCAGCTGCAGCAGGTTGGTGAGGTCCTTCGCCTCAAAGGAGTTGTCCGGCAGAAACCGCACCTGGCAGTTCACCTTCACGATCCTGGCGCCGCGCCGGCCAAGGCCAGCGGCAAGGCGAGGGGAGGCGGGGGGCTTGGTCGACCCAACTTGCGTACATGGAGTCACCTGGAGTCACGAGTCTCCGGATCTGACCCTTGAACAATGGTTGGTCATCACCCGAAATAATGGTTGGTCATTGACCCATTTTTGAAGGGTCATGGAGACTCCAGGTAGGTCTTTTTCGAGGCGGGGCCCCCTTTTTGAGATGTTCGAGTGGAACCAAAGTATAACAAAACCACTTAGAAAGTAGGTTGCAACTATGGTACGGGGACGAACCCCAGTTGCCGCACTTTCCAGGGTTATACCCTGCTTAATTGCAAAGTTGGTTGACCATCCAAGCTCCCAGTAACAGGTAGTGAGTGTGGGCGTTGTTTGAGAGCGGTAGTTGCCAATTTTCAATTTGAGGTGATATAAACGCACATTGGGATGTTTGCCAAATTCCGATCAAAATGAGGCTGTCAAGGTACAAGCATGTCTTCACCTTCCCACGAATTTGGTGTCTTTCTTTCGAGAACCCCCCAAAAAAAATATTATGTGTTCTTTGGCTTCCCTTGAACGCCACCCAAAAAGGACATCCTGAAAAAAGAAGAAGAAAAAAAACAATTGGTGGCTTGGAAAGGTTGGGTGGCCCTGAATGGACTCCAGAAAACAACCTGGGGAACTCTCCAAACCGCCCATTGCCGGCTTGCAACTGATTTCCTGCACGATGGAAATCCGGCCCAAAAGGCATATTCACAGGGCCCCTTAGCACATCCCACTGCTCAAAGGCAAGCTGAGGTGAGGTGTACGCCTTTTCTGGAGAAAAAGCCACTCCAACAGAAGGCTTCTGTCCTGCAAGGTCAATTTAGGGAGAGCAATTGTCAGGTGCCATGTTTTGCAAAGTCATGCTGAAACTTTTAGTGGGACATGTTGAAGAGAATCCCTCTAAACCCGATGAAAGTCTAGAAGTACGCAAGGAACACGGGTTCGATCATTTTCTCTGATACTTCCAAGGCTCTTGATTCCCTTCACTCCATGAAATATCCGATCCCAATCGGAAGGAAGGACATCTAAGCGCCTTCCCTTGGGAAAATCCAGCGCCATCTCTCCGATCCGAGCCCATCCAGCAAAGCCCGTGGTTCGTGGGACCCGGGTCTGTCAAGTGGAGGCAACACTCCCTTGCAATAGGATTGGCTCACTTCGACCCAGTACCAGGGAATAGATCCACCACATGGGTGGGCCTTTCTTGGGACCCCCCAAAATGATGGCTGTCCTTTTCAGCTTCCCTTCAACCCCCAAATCTGGGGGGGCCCGGATTTGATTCCCTCCGAAAAAGATGGACGACAGCCACCCAAACCCACCCACGCGCTTCCGCGCTTCCGCGCTTCCGCGCTTCCGCTTCCGAATGCGCCGAACGCGACGAAAGCGACGGACGCGACGGACGCCTTGGAAAGGACGGAGCCCTCATTTTCGCAGGGAATCAAATCCGGGAAATCCCCGATTTGGGGGTTGAAGCCGAAGCGCCGAAGCCGCGCCTCTCGCGGACCTCGCAGCGCATGGGCTCCCGGAAGTGCTGCCGCAGACTCTCCCGCCACTCGGAGGCCTCCGGGACCTCCTGCGAGCTCGAGACGCGGCTGGAGCTGCACTCGAGAAACCGGTGGCTTGGGTGCCCTTTAAAATATCCCGTAGTCATAGATTTCCCTCTAAAAACCACTGGAAGATATATATGTATTTATATATTGATTTCAGCATGGAAGATTTGGTGGTTGAGGAAGGGTTTTGGGGTGTAGGGAGCCCCCTCAAATGTGGTCAGCTTCGCGCAAGTTGGCCGCCTCAAACCGGCTTTCTGACCTACATGTTGCCCGCCCCATCCTTTCTAGGTCCTCCAGTGGAGAGGTTAGAATAAGGGTACCAACTGTTTGCTGTAGTCTATTTTAGTAGGGGAACCCTCCCCCAAGAAAGGGCGAGAAAGGGCACGGACCTTGCTTTTCCTCAGCTTCCTCATTGGCGGCTTGGAGCCGGAGCCGGAGCCGAATCGGTGCAGAGGCGAAGCTTCCCATTGACCCTCCAGAGGCGTTCCTTCCCAGGGCGGCTTGGGTTTAAGGAGCCTTCACCCTCACATCAGTCCGCTTCTCTCTAGTTGGTGATTTGGATTGGTGCCTTTTTCGGGGGCAGCGTCCCATGTTCCCAACCAGAAGGGACCCCTTCAACTCCAACTCCTTGGGCCACCAATTTTCGGAAAAAATTGCCAAAAGGAAACCGATCCTCACCTCGGGAGCTGAGGGAGGTGGGGGTTTGTGGACTTTTCGGTGGGGTTTTACAGAACTACCCCGATTTTCTTGGAAAAGTTTCTTGCGTCGGAAACATTGGGGCCCGGACCCCATTTTTTGTGAAACAAACTAACCATGCCAGCATATATTTTTTGGGTCAACTAGCAATGGGCGTCTGAAAGCGACGACACATCTAGGCGTTTGCAGGCGCAAATTCGCAAATCCAACAGTTGGATGTGCTTTTTCAGGGTACCCCTAAAATGGTGGCTGTCCTTTCGATTTCTCTTTAAAACCAACCCAAAATCATTAAACACCAACCCGAAATCGTTACCAACTCTCAAAGTCACAACCCCAGACCAAAGGTAACAGGCAAAAAGAGTCGGCGCTTCAAAAGGAAATTCATCTTCCAGGTACCTCCCCACAGGTGCCATGTTAGTTGGAGGAAGGGTAAACGTCAACCTTTTGGGACTCTACTTTGCTAAAAATGGGAACCCAAAAAGGGGAAACCAAAAGGTGGTCAGATCCGGTCTGGTTCTTCATGGGCAGCCAAACATCAATTTTGGGCGTCTCTGTTTTTTAGGGTTCCTGGTTATAAAAGGCAACATGTTGATTTATCTGTTTTATTAGTTTTATTTATGTTATTTTTTTTTTTTTTTTTAAAAAAAAAAAAAAAGAAGACAAAAAAAAAAAAAAAAAAAAAAAACCCCGGGGGGGGGGTCTCCTGCAAAAAACACACACACACACAAACAAACACACACACACACACACACACACACACACACACACACACACACACACACACACACACACACACACACATTCAGACACCTGCCGCAGTTGGACCCCCGTGATAGTTGGACCCTCTTCCTGTGGCTCAATCAAAGAAAAAGCGAGCCAAAGAAGATATTCCGATGCCCTTTTTGTGTGGTTTCAAATGAAACCCGGCAGGTCCGGGAACCAAACCAAAAACATGCAGGGGTCCCATGGCTCCGCAAAACCTTGCGCCACGCCCATGTGTGTTTGTGTGTTTGTGCGTGTGTGCGTGCTTCTGTTTTTGGAACACGGGTGCCTTTTTTTTCCCGCAGGGGGAAGAAGAAAAAAGCACCACCTGGAAGGGGCAGCCTCGAAACATCGAGGCCATTTGGAGCGCCTGGTCCATGTTGGGGATGGCGGAGGTGGCATCCAGTGCAGAGGGGGGGCTGTACTTGTTGCCCTCCTGATCCTGACAGATCAGACCCAAGACAAGCCCTCGGCAGATGTCTCAAGGGTATTCCCTTGTTCAAACATGGTGGTGTTGTTGCTGAATTTTGAGGAGTCCCCCAAAAATGGTGGAGTCCTTTTAGTTTCCCTTCAAAACCTACCAGAAAGGGGGTAAAAATGGCTCCCACACAGCCACGAGAGGATTGATTCCCTTACCGTGGACGCTAGCCCACCCCATTTGCCACCATACCCCCCGCAGTCACCATGGCGAACGGATCAGACAGAAGTCAGCCTTCCGCTTTTGGCTGGGTGTTCCTCTCGCTTGCTGGGTTGTTCTGTGGGGCACCAGGGAAACCGTTCTCTGGCATAGGGAATAGGGATTCACTTTGAACAACCCAGGTTTGGACGCATTCTTGGCACATCGCCTTAAGCTTCCATTTCGCAAACTGAAAACCGCCCTCAAGATCGCAAGCGAACCAACACACACCAGCTGACCTCCTTTGGGACCTGAACCAAAAAGGACAACTGAGTCACCAAAACCCTGGTGCATTGCCGTCCCCTTGCCATATTTGGGGGTGTCCCGCCAGGGTAAAAAAAAAGGAATAAACAAATAAATACATAAATAAATAAATAAATAAACAAATAAACAAACAAACAAACAAACAAACAAACAAACAAACAAAGAAACAAAGAAGTAAATACATAAATAAATAAACAAATAAATAAATAAATAAGCCCAACCACCCCTTGTCGCTTTTGGGCCTATGCGACACCATAGCTTTCAGCTGTTGGGGAAACATTAGCAAGGCTTCAAACACAGGAGAAAACCATGAGACGGCCAACTCCCAACCACGTTTCTCTCCTTGGTCCTCCAGTAGAGAGGTTAGAATAAGTTGGTACCCTTTTTTCTGCAGTCTATTTTAGTAGGGGAACCCTCCCCAAAAAAAAATGCAAAAGGGCACTACTGGGGCACCCAGTCTCACGCCCGAATCACGAAACTCCGCCTGGGCCCTCCACATCCTGAGCTCTGTGGGGGTCAAGAGCTGGCCATACCTCAGCTCGACTCGGAATCTGAGGTCGGCATCCACAAAGCGCATGGAGCCTCAAAGAGTGGGTGGGATCCATGTTAGTGGACAGGAGGGTACGTATTTTTTGGATGGTTCTGTAGGGAAACCTCCAAACACGGCTTTTGATGGGTTCCGATTGTCGTCCTTTTTTGTCCCCTCCCCCCCTCTTTTCAGTGACACTCTTGTCAAGAGCACCCTTTGCAAAACTTTACCCCTCAACGTCGGAAAGGGATCGTCTCATTTGAGGCAAAGGCTGGATCTGAAGTCCAGAACCCAATGGGCTTCGTTCCGCACCTTGATGGGCCCCTGGGGCCGTGCCCGCGAAAATTTCCACCGAGCGTAGTCCTTTTTGACGAGGCGAAAGAGGCTCTCAAGAATTCACTCCCACCAAATCTCCACCCCCCACCCCCGCCCCACCCCCCACCCCACCCCCCACCCCACCCCCCACCCCCCACCCGCCACCCCACCCCACCCCCCACCCCCCACCCCCCACATACCTCCCCCACGCCACGCGCACGCGGTTTTCGCTCGAAGGCACGCGTCGGACTCTGCACGCTGCTCCTGGTGCGCCAACGTGCGGCTGCCCGGCCAACCCAGCGGGCTCCACAGCGCGCTCTTGGACTCCTACGGATCTGCTCGGAGGCGACCGCTTTTGGGCGCCAAGAACCCAGAAGTTCCGTAGGTTGCCGTGGGTTCCGTCCTTTTCCTTAGGGTTTTGGGGTTTCATCAACAACCCAACCTGGGCTTCCGTTGAGTTGGTGCTCTGTTGGGGTTGAACAACAACGCAGGGTTGCGCCGGGACATGTCTGTAGCGAGGAGTACGTAGATCTCTCCCACGCATAAGCTCTCTCATCGCAATGCTGCTGAGACATTCCCTCTGCGTTCCTTGTATTCGCACTGTTTCTAGTCTAGGTCCTCCAATAGAGAGGTCTAAATCAGGGTACCAACTTTTCTCTGTAGTCTATTCTGGTAGGGGAACCCTCCCAACCAAAAAGTTGGTGAGAAAGGGCACCTAGCTGGGGGACCTAGCTGGGTGCAGCTACCCTACTTGGGGCACTTCTGGCAGGTGTGATGTCGTATCCAGACCAGGTGCCTTCACTTGCACTTGGCAGGGGCCGAGCGCTTGTAGGCAGAAGCGGAAACCCCAAAATCCGTGGAACGTAGCAGTGAAAATGATTGCTGTTCTAGGGGTTGATTCCATGTCCATTCCTTGCAGCCACCGTTCTTGTCAACTAGAACCACGGGTGGCCCGAAAGCATAATGGAAAGTGACCAAAGACAAGCAAATTTCTAGGAATTGTCCATTCCCCCTAGAGTGTACTTCTTTTTCGGCGCGGTATGTCTTGGTCATTGGACTGGAGATGCTTGTGGTTTGACAAGCAAAAACACAATTTGCTGGGCTTCTAACAAGCTTCAAATATGTTAGCACACGAATGGACCAGAAAGCGCGTTCGTCAAGGAATGTTGCCTTCAAACAGACCTGAAACTTTCCTGTGTTCAAGGAAAGCAGCTCGTATTTGTTCACCATCATCTCAGGGTGCAAGGCCTCTCTTCTGACCAGAGGCGATTGAAATTCAAGCAGGCGTCCAAAAAGTAAACTTTTATACAGCTGCACATGTTGCACCGTACGCCCATGTAATTCCGTTGCTGGGAGGGATTTCCTCCATGAACTCGTCTGTTGTCGCCAGAGGATGCCCTGGCCCATGGAGACGTCTTTAGGAGTGCGATGTTCCTAGGGATGGCCTCCTTCGGTTTCAGTCTCTCGTAACACCCCGGTGCTTCCCGGCGTTTCAAGCCAGCTTGCCGTTCGCCTTTTTTTTCCCTTACCGAAACTCCTGGCTTCCGTTACCGAAAGGTGGCGAAACGCGAAAAAAACCCTTCAGGTGTTGCCACAAATTCAAACACTTCCTGGCAAGCCCATCTTGGTTGACGTTGGAAGGAAAGCAACATTTGAAATGTTAGCAGTTAAGTGGTTGGATTTCAACCACTAAGCCACAATAAGCCAAAATGCAAAATGCAAATCCCGACAACAACCATGGCGAAACGCCCGTCGACAAAGATTTTTGTTTGAACCGCGAGCCGCGGGCTTCCGGTGCCACCACTCTTGAGTCAAAGGAAACCATTTCTGGGCTGCCCGTTTTCGGATCCCCCGCTAAAAGTGTTTTTTTTTTTTTTTTACTTTTTGTGGGTCAAATAGAAACTACCACCAAACACTAAAAGGCTAGAAGGCTAAGGAACCGGATGGCTGGGAGCCACCAAGATTTGGCAAAACATGGTGAAACCAACCTGGGGAAAGAGTGACAAATGAAGAAAAACAGCAGATGGGCCATTGTCTTGGGCACTGGCACCCCTCCTTTCCGCGTTTGTTCACAGCTCGGAAAAAGCCAGACCAAAAGCCTTTCCATTTGCTTAAGACCTCCCAAAAAAAATATGTCCAGCAGTGATAGATTCAATTGAAACCCAACAGGGGAAATAAACAACATACTGCATGTACCCATTTCAGCAAATGGAAGAAAAGAGATGAGAGCGTCACACTTCGACTCTTGCCGTGTTACTTGTTCCCTGGACCATGGGCCCTTTCTTGCATCGGGCTTCAGGTGGTTTGCGAAAGAAGAAAATATGGCTTTGGGTCAAAATCCCGTACCCTCAGTGAACATCCCAATCCCCACTAAAATAGGTCCTAAAATGGGTGGTGAATTCGCCTATCCCATTGGTTTTGACAACCACAGCCATATCTTGTTCAGTCCTTGATGTCCTTGACATTCTCTTTCGCCTCCTCAGCCTTCACCTTCTTTTCAGCCTTCACCTCCTGCGGTGCGGCGAAATTTGCGATCCTTCAAAAGAAATCAAAGGAAACCTGGCTTGCTCATCCCGCAGGGCTTGACTAGGGGTGACCCTTTTTAGTGGGGCGGGCGGTCACTTTTGGGGCCCCCACGAGGTGTCTGCATCCAAATTGTCCAAAGTCCAACCAGTCACCTCCCTCTATTTGGTGGTTTGGGAGGAAAACCGCTGGTTCTTGTGGATGGCAACTGGGAAGCCCCTCCTTAATCAAGGCTCCAAACCACCCTTGAGGGAAGCTGAACCAGGGAAGTGGGCAGCCTGCTTCACCTCGGCTTTCACTTCTTTGGCGTCAGCCTTGATCTCCTTCTCCGGCTTCATCTGGCGAATCAATCGCCACTTAAAGGGGCAGGGTACGTCAGGGAAGTGCTAGCAAGCCTGGCTGCCCACTTAGAAGACTTATACAGGGATCCTTACCATTATACACCTGAACATTGCCTTGTCAATGGTGGTGTCCCTTTATTTTGGTGGAAAAAGCCATGTTTCAAATGGGCAAAATGTATCTTTTAAAGAGCCCTGTTATAACCACGGCTTTTGTGGGTTATAACCCGCCCCAGCACCGATTTGCCAACAGTCAGCTACGCTTGCAAAAAGTGGTTCAAAAGGTTCGCATGAGGTCTTTCAAGGAAAAGGTCGACGTCCATCGCTTGTCTCAAATATGTGGGCCGCAAAACCCACGAAATTGTCACACAAGTCCAAAAAATGCTGGTGATGCTGGTGATGCTGCGGATGCTGCCCAGCACGCACGCGTGAAATCCTGTTGACAACCACCATGTTGAGCGGTCAGAGAGAAGCCCTTGTTTCGTGTTGTCTCCTTTGGTTCCTAGATTGGAATGCTTGTCTGAAGTTCGTCACATGGACCGAGCCACAACCAAACTCAGTGCAGAGTATAACCGATATAGCAATGTTACTGAGTCCAAAAATAACCCCACAAAAAGGGCTGCCAACTCAAAAAAGACAACCCCATCCCATCCCTTTGCTTGATGTTTTTCTAGCGCCTCAACCTTCTCTTCTGCTTTGGCGGCCACCTGCCATGCGAGCGGCGAAGAGTCAATAGCCTATCCCGCTGCTGATGGCAACACCAGGGTTGCGAAACCCCGACTCTGCTCGGCCTGACTCAAAAAACTGTCGGTTGGATGGTTTGGAGATGTGGGTGAGGAGGCCAAGAAGGAGTTCAAGCCCAAAAGCAAACGAATCCAAGCCAACAGAGTGGTCCCTGATCTGGGGTACTCCAAAAGTAAGACGCTCAGATTCTGCTTCACACCCTGATTTGTATTGAATAACTTGGTAGGTAGTGGGTTGCGCCAAGCCTCTTGAACATCGTGTGAACCACCATAGGTGGCGACAACTTCAAGTGTTGGATTCGCCAAATTAGTAAGTTGGTATAGGGTATAATGCAATTAAGTCCCCCGTGAATGTCGGGAGCCTTTATTGGGGAAAGAAACACCCAAGTCCATGTGGCGATCACCACTTGCTAGCTTGGCGAATCGAACATCCAAAGCATGGCTGTTTGCACAAGTTCTCCCCAAACAGCAAAACCCAGCGGAATCGACCCTTTCAAGTGTTGGGCTCAGATTCTAACCCAAGGATTTGGCGCATGTGTCACCGATTTTCGTCTCTTGTATCTCCAACAGGCCCTTTTGTGGGGAAAGCAGGTATTGGGTGGGCGTTGGTTTGTGGCGGGATTTGTATGTGACCCATGTCCCTCCCAAATGCACCATGAACAAAGGATATTTTGACCGGACCTCAAACGCTGCCAAGGCACTTGCAGGATGTCTTCAGCCTTCGAACGAGCGGCGCGAGGCTGTTGACCCCTCTGCAAAAAGCGGTTCGCTTTTTTGTGGGTCCAATTCGGAAAATCCGACGACCTGTTTCAACCAAACAGTTAAAGTCCAGGGATCCGTTACCAAACAGCCACAAGGGTTCCATTTGGGGGGGGGGGGGGGGGCGGGGTGTCCCTTTTTGAGGGTACCCCATGGCTCTGTTGAAGGGACGCCAAAAGAAAACCAACGACTTTTGGGGAACAAACACACTCATGTGGTGTTAAGTCAAGGTGGACTTCAATGTAGGGGTGGTTGATTTCCAAGGGAACCTCTTTGAGCTTTGTATCATCATTAGTTGCATATATATATATATATACACATATGCATACAAGACACCCCCCAATTGCTCGTGCCTTGGGAAGTCCCAACCCGCGCGCGTGTGTCACTAGATACCAAAATACACCAACATATACCTATTACACGCAAACAAAAAATATAATCCCATATATGATCATTTGACAAAGTATATCGAAATATACCCAAATATACCCAAATATGACAAAATATACCTAAACAACCTCTTTTGTTGTCCTAAGGTGATCAGGGTTTGGTTTACAACAGTTGGTCTCCCTGAACCCTCCTGCCATTTGGGGGCGACTCATTTCACGATGGCCACCAAGAGATGTGCCCGCCATCCAAACAACTCCAAGTCCGCCAACAGCCCCCAACCCTGCGCCTTCATCGCCACTGCGACATCCTCAGATTTGCCCCAGTGAGACCCTCCACGAACAAAAAGCAAAGAGGGACCGCGAAAAAAAATCACTCCGAGGTCCCTGGCTCTGTGGTTCATTGTGTTTGTTGGTTGTCTTGCTTAATTTGAGTTACCCGCAACCACGCTTCTGGACCAACCAACACTAAAACTGTCAAAACCCCATAGAAAGGCCCCCCTGTAACCGGGGCACGACCCAAATTCTGGCGCAATCAAAGTCCAAACGCCATTCCAAGACTTGGTCAGGATGCTCACGTTTCATCTGCGTCCCGCGCCCCGTGTCCCGCGACGAGAAAATAGAGTGGTCCCTACCCTGGCTCCATGGTGTGGGGTCACATGGCCGTTTTTGGTTTGAATACGTGTTTAATATTGGGATATATATATATATACATATATATATATATTATAAAACAAATAATAGAATGTATAACTCATAACACATCATACAATATAATAAGTAATATAATATAGTATAGTGTACGGGTGCTTTTTGTCCTAGCGCCCAGCGCTGGCTTTTCTTGGCGCTGGCAACATCCCAAGCACCACCTGGAGCAGGGCCTTTCTCCGAGGGTTTTTGTATTACGCCCTGGGAATAGACCCACTGGGTATTGACCCCATTTGTGCACATTTCCGGATAAAACCGCGTTAGTTTGAACCATTCCAGGGGTCATTTCCCAAGGGTGTAATCCCAGGTCATACAAAAACCCTCGTACTTTTTCGGGTTTTCGGGGGCAAACGGTATCCTCACATCAGCTGCACGCCAACCCCAAACCTGCCCAAGGTCAACCCCAGGTTCCCAAACCGTCCCAGCGAGATCCAAGCTAGCGCAAAGCCGCCTCTGATTAAAGCAGCCCCGAGCAACTGCCGACTGCCAGCCAATAGGCAACCCTGGGTCCAAGTGAGGCTGGTGATGCCGGGGATGCGGCCAAGCAACCAACCAAGTAACCAACCGACCAACCGACCGACGGACCGACCGGCCGGCCGGCCCGAAGAAAACACCCACCAGGAGAAAGGCGCATTCCAAAAATCTATGTTTTGGCACCTTGAGAGGCTTCTGAGGCCGACCCAAAACGCTCAAGAACTTGCTCCCCGCATGCCATTGGTCAAAAAACGGCCCCAAGCGCCCGCATAAAAAAGAAAAAAAAAGAAATTAGAACCGCAGAGTCACAACTGGCCAAGTGGCCGATCGCCTGAAGCACAACCAAAAACTAGGCCCCAGGACTTTACCATAGATGTCACCCTAGTGGCAAAGGGAAACCACCAAATCCATTCCCTGACTTGGAGTTGTCCCCAGAATCAGCCAAAGGCATGACAGCTGCGATAATCAAGAAACAGTTTCGGACTCTGAGAATCCAACTTCAAGGGGCAGGGTACTTCGAAAGTGGGCAATCACCATGGCTATAACTATAGCCTATAACCCACAAAAGCACAAGTCTCCAGTGGCTTCTAACCGGGCCTAACCACTTGCCTGAAGTACCGTATCGATCACCCCCAAAGAGTCTCTGTCGAAAATGGGTCAGGCAAAGAGAGCGCCAAATATAGTAGTACTACTGCCTTTTCCGCTCTTAGTGGCATGCTTTCCGCTCTTAGTATCCCTCTTTTCCGCTCTTAGTCTCTAATTTGCCGCTCTTGGTTAGAACACTTCCCCGGCAAAAGGTCGACCCCGATTTTTGTCTGCGCCGCGTCACCGGCGGTGCCAAAGGTTCAGGCACCTGCTCCTGAGACGAGGCAAGATTGTAGTCGGTGTCTTTTTCACGCTGGTTTGAGGTGCGTCCCCCGTCTTCTGTTTTTTTTTGTTGGGGGGGGGAAGCACACTCCCCGTCTTGTTGAGGGCTGGTGTTCCCTCCAAAAGTGAGGAATCCCAGGGATACCCCCCTATGAAAGTTCACCAGGGGTTTATTCCTTTGGGGTCAGCATTACTCATTGTTCCACCCACGCGACAGTCTCCAGCCAATTTCTTGCGACGGTCGAAGCGCATTTGGGGATGCTACAATGGATGCAAATAGAAGCGCGCGCACGACCAACATTACCACCGAAGCGCACTGAAGCATACTAATTCGTTTAATTTTATGGACCACAAATCCTCAACTCAGTCGGCTGAAAAACTAGCCTGACCGCAAAGAAAAAAAACACCGTGAAGCAACCAGGCTCGACCACAAATCCCTGGTAAATATCGATAATGGTTGGTAAATCAGGAGTGTGCTTTGTTCGCTTACTTGCAATGTTTCGGGCATCCACAGTAGGTTAGCATGAGTCTATAATGTTCAGGTGCTGGTCCTTTTCGTGTTTCACCATGGTAGTCGACGGGCGCAACCCTTTCTCCTTAGACATCTTCAGACAATGAGTGCCAACCGGCGTGCTGCCCGCGGATCACATCGATTGAAGATAGGTTTGATTTAACACAACCAGAGCTTCGATCCATTGCGCAGGCCAAGCAAAATGACGCTTGAAACTTGGGTCCGCCATGCCAGAGGATATGGGTGTGGCTCAAAATTCAACAGCTGGGGTTACGCAGGTTGTAGTCTTTGTTTGCATTTGCCAAGCTGCCATTTTGGTACATTTTTTGACCCACTGCCATATGTTCACCAGAGCCACTCTGAAACAAGCTTTCTTTCCCCTGAAGTATCACTTGCTGGTTCTCAGCAGGGAATGAGGGAATGACCCCTACAAAGCATCCCCCATGATTTCCTTCAAGGGAATGCCTAGGTTCATTCCCAAACCCTGGGTCATTCCCTGAAGAGCAGCAGGCAAGATAAGGGCCTGAACAATCAGAATCTGCTTGTGGGGTACCTTAAACATCAGCACTTGTTGTCATCATAGCAACATCTATCTGCTGTACACGGCGCTTCATTCCTGTATGTGGGTAAGTGAAGGGGATGATTAACCAGAATGAGGGAATGGTGCCATCTACTGTTAAGGGGAGTGTGGGGGGGTGGAGGGTGGCCGGTACCCTCCCACCCTGTTGATGAACCTCACGACATTGCCAGGCTTAGCTTACCTCATGACTTTTTGTCTTTGTAGGCTTCCTCCATTTCTCCGCTCACCCATAATCTCAGAAGGACAAGTTCAACAACCTTTCGCCCCACAGATTCGCCGGTGACGTCGCCTGCATCTTCTCGTAGAAGGCCCTGAGCTCTTCGTCCGGCAGCGGGGACCTCACTTGCAAACATTGCCAGCATCATGGTTGTGGAAAGCAAGCCTTTCTCTGATACTCAAGTGATTCCCATGTCTACTTTAAATCGAATCACGGCAAGCCGTAAACCAAATTTCCCACACTCACCTTTTCGCGAACATGTAAAAAAGATCCACTGGCAGTTCTACTTGCTATCGAACCATGGTCCCAAACTGGAAAGCCAACATGTCCTTTAGCAAAATCCATTTTGCTAAAGCCCCCTGGAAAAATGGAAATATGTCCAGTAGTGATAGATTCCCCTTTAAAACCAACAGGGGAAAATATAAACATATGGCTGTGGCTCTAAGAAATGAACCAATATGGCACCCAAAGGCAAATGGAACCAAAGATTAAAACCTGCGGTTGAATTTTGAGCCCACCCATATTCATATAAGCAAGCGGAAGAAAAAGACGGCACACCCCGTCGCGCCAATCCGCACATTCGGCTGGCCGGGGAGCTTGAGGTGCTGCTGGAGCCGGTACTCCTTGCCTCGGCCGACTCCCCAGTAGGGTTGGTTTCGGGAGGGGAAGCATCCCCCACCATTCCAATCCCATCCAATCCTATCCATCCATCCATTCATGAAAATCACTGGGAAATAACAGTACAAAGTCTATCCTATCCAATCCATTCATGCAAGTCGCTGGGAAGTAGCGGCATCTCAAAGCTGCAACCTTCTGGACCCCGCTTTCAGTATCTCAGCCCTGACTGTGCAAAGTGCAAAAGATTGGATTTGAACCTCCCCCCAGAAAAAAAAGGTTGCATTTCCCAAAGAAGCCGGGATTTCTTAAAAAAAAAAAAAAAAAAAAAAAAAAAAAAAAAAAAAAAAAAAAAAAAAAAAAACGATTTCCCAGAAGGCTGTTCAGTATCTCAGGCCGGATTTCCCAAAAAAGATTGGACTTGAACCTCCCTACCGGTTTGTTTCGCCGAGATGCGAGCGCAGGGCGCCAACACAAAGTCCTCCAGCAGCTGCCGAGCCAAGGTGCCCTGACGCATGGGAGGACCCGAAAATGGACCTGCTACTCAGCTTCCCCCTTGGTGGTGTGCATGTGATCTAGTTCAGGGGTGGTTTTCCATTGACGCACAAGAGCCGGGGGTGTAAATCCAAACCCAAGGGCTCCAAACCACCATACACCTGAACATTGCCTTGTAAATGGTGGTTGTGGTGGCAAAAAGCCATGTTTCAAAAGGGCAAAATGTATCTTTTAAGGAGCCCTGTGAAATACGGCTTATTCGTGGCTGGGTTTCTGGCACCAGCGTGACAGGTCGGGGACTCGCAAGTTTGGAGACAGTGGCTGGGGTTTGAAACCTCAGACGCGAATGGGCCAGGCTTCCCATAACCCCAGCAAACCAAGGTGGTGTCCCTTGTGGAAACCAAAGGACGGTAGGGAAACAAATGGAAGTGCAAGGCCAGAGTTGAGCTAGTTAGATTAGAAAACCCAAATACATCGGTCCGGGTTGATACCTTTTGAGCAATGATTCGACTCACTTGTGTCAGGGGGTCAACAGATGTGGAGGGTTCAAAAAGCAACCCGAGGACTTCCAACCCATTCCAAAGCCGAGAATCCTTATGAGATGTTCCCACCCTCTTGTTCGAAGGTACCCTTCGCCGCCGACCGGAAGAAGTAGCCCTTGAGTTCTGACATTTGGAAGCCAAACCGAAACCAAACATGTTGAAAGCTTCATGTCCTAGACACAGTCAATGTTCATCCCCAACTGACGGATTTTTCGGTGAACCCCCATGGGAATTTTGGGGCTTGTGGCATCCCCTTTGACAGAAAATCGTTTGCCAGTCACATAAAACACCTAGGGCCAGGGCGCTTGACGAGCCGCTTTCGCAAAAAATGACACCAGCCCACGGGAACAGAGCAGGGATTGGTCCGGTTTCTCCTGGGGCTTCCACTGGTGCGAAGTAATCAATCGCGTGGCAGCGTGAATCAATGGTCCACCCCCAAGAAGCATTGGAGGTCCATTGAAAGGATCCTTTCGACTAAAACGGCTAAAACCGGAAGCTGGCGAGGAGAGGCGGAAAAACCTCAGCTCTGACCTTTTCGGCCCAAAGGCGAGCCTTTCACAGTTGGAACCATGGCGAGATGAAGTGGGCCAGGGACTCCTTCCAAATGACTTGGTTTCGACATGTTCTCCCATGTAAATGATTTGTCCCCGGGCTGTCTGTTTGCTGATCCCGGCTAAAAGTTGACAACGTTTAGTGGGTAAAAATATGGAAAACCCACCAAACCAGCTAAAAACAACTAAAAATCCACAGGAAGCCAAGGTCCACTCCTCAAGCCAAACTATCATGAAAAGCCGTAGGCCTTTAACGCGGCACAACTTAACGAACTGGACGCCATCTCAAAATGGATTGGATGGGGTGGGCTTCCTGCAACTCTGGAGGGGCGCTGGGTTGGTTGGCACTGGAGTGGTCAAAAGGAGCGGAAGGGGTGCTGGAAGGGTGCAAAAGGAGGTTGCTGCTGGGGATATCACCAGGGCGAAAATCCCACGCGATGTCCTCTCCACTGGATGCTCTCCATTTTGGTTCGGAGATGGCTTGCGTTCACCTCTTCCCTTCAAAGCAATCCTAAAGGCAGGTGCCTCTTTCCAACGGAAGAGTGGACAAAAGGCCTGCTCAAGAGGTCGCAGTCCGTGCCCTCCGAACGACATTGAAACAAGGGCAGCGCTCAACAAGCCCAGCCCAGTGAAGCAAGCGGTACCAAAGACACCGCCTGCGGGGCCACGCCCAACAAGCAGAGAAGGTTCTTCGGGTCCGCGCAGAGGCGGAAGAAGAGCTCCTGGGTCTTCAGTCGGTTGGCTCAAATCACATTGGCCAAAAGGGCGATGTTTCAACTCAGGGACCCTTTGTTGGTTTGGGGTGCAATTGAGGCGGGTTCGAGTGGAGGGTTTAGGGTTGGTTAAGAGATTGGTTGAGGTTCCAGAAGTATTCGGTCCAATTACTTCATTTGAGCCCAGAAGGAGCTTCTGTTCAGACCAAACAAAGACCATCAAGGATCCCTGTGAAGAACAGGAACTCTGTGGCAAACTCGACGAAAAGCCAACCTGATTTGGAGGTGTCTCAAAATGGTGGACCTGAACACTGTGGATGGGCAAAATTGGGCTGTCGCTTTGTTGGGGAACCTCCTCCCCCCGCGAAATGGTGGCGTTCCTTTTGTTTCCCTTTAAACCACAAAAACGGAGTAATTACCCTCAAAAAAGAAAGCGCCCAAATCCTGCACCAGTTGGGATGGATGAAACCCGATTCGGATACTGGAATAAATAAACCATCAACCAACTGGTTCGAGTTGTGAATCATGTCCAGCAAACATACTGTGTACCCGAGAAGAAAGGGTGTGATTTCTGAATCCCCCAGTGCAGTTTGAGCTGGATTCATCGCTGGATTCGGAAACTTGGCCACGTTTGGACAATGTCCCCTTCTGACCAATGTGGAGATGTAGTCTTAGGGTGTTCAACCAACGTGGGTGAGTAGGTTATAGCCATGGTAGGGAGACTACTTGGGTGTTCGATTCGCCAAGTTAGCGGTAGCCCGGGTTATAACCCACTTCTAAGCCCCCCCCACTAGGGTTAATCTTGTAACTGGGGGTTGTATTCCAAGTGGCTAACCACTTAGTAACTTAGCTGAACATACAAGACCCCAGTAAATTGACCTGTACCCACGGTTATATATAACCTACTGCCAGACGTTGGAGATCCAAGTGGAAAAAAACAACAAGGGACAAGCCAAAATTCCACGCGGGACAAATGAAGATAGGCATGAGATTCCAGTATTCATAGGGTGTCATCCATCCCAACTGGTGCAGAGATTTTAATTTGTTTTTCATCCAACTGGTTCTGGTTGGCAAATGTGACCCTGCGCAGGACACCCACACACGAAGGATTCGCCGCAATGCGCGAGCCAGCTCCGGTGCCAGGCGTCTCTAGAGTCGCCGCCGTCCAGGTGAGGAGAGGTGGTGAAAATCACCTGCGCAGATCGCTGTTTTGCTCGACGGAAATGAAGAACAAAACAATCAATAGGCAATAAAACATGGAATGACCCCTATATGCCCCAAAAACCAATCCCTTGTGGTTTCCTTTAGGGGTTCATTCCCAACACCCTGGGTCTTTCCCTACTGAGCACCAGGATAAACATTACAAGCAATTGGTTGCCCACCAACCTTGGCTTCCATGGTCAGTGTTCGGTGTCGCAAAACAAAGATCCTTTGCCAGTCACTACCATTTCCTCCAAGCGGATACCAAGTTGGTCACAGCTGCCCTCAGCAAAAGCAAATGGCCCTGGCAACCACTTGCACCAGCCATGAAAAGACACCTCCGGCCGCTTCCGCCGAGGCATCCCGACTTCTCGGATCCCCTCCGCTCGCTGGCGCCCGCGGCTCCGCTCGCTCGCGCCTTGGGCCGGTTCAGCGGATGGGCGGCGATCAGCTCCTCGAGGCTCTGGAAGATGCGGATGGAGCGCAGGACCTGAAGGCTCCTTTCGCGCCCATTTCTCGTTTCGGGGAGGGGGGAGTTCTGGGGTTCTGCCCCCTTCCATTTGGCCATGGGTCAAAACCCTGTACCCCCAGTGAACATCCCCAATCCAACCACTAAAATCGGTTCTAAGATGGGTGATGCACCTATCCCAAAACGGGATCAACCAAAACGGTTTTGAACCGTGGCCACGTGAAGAATGTGTTTTTGCTTCTTTTCCGTTGGTCTTACAGGGAATCAGTTTCTCTACTGGAGGCATCTTTTCTCGCGCAGCCCGTTTCGCGGGTCTCGTTTCGGGTGGATCAAAGGGAAAAAAACGAAGAAACAAATTGCAGTCCGCTGGAGAATATGTAGGTCTCACATCACGGGGAAACCCCTGGCTTTTTTTTGTTTAAACTGGGAAAGGAATCTGTGTACTGGTCCCCTGCTCAAGTCCCAGAGGAGAATTGGTCACCCTTCGCTATGGTGACCAAATTTTGCATCATGGGAAACCCCTGGATACCAAATATAGTGGCAAGCGCCGGAAGCACTGGGAAAGAAACTCTTGTACAACTCAGGGAGTCAGGGGTAACTCGTCTTTGGAGTTGGTACCCCGTTTTTGTGTGTGTGGGAAGGCAACCACACCGTTGCGAAAAGCAATGCCCTGTTTGGACCTGACTGGTGTCACAACTGAACAATGATGAGTTGGGTGGTCTCAGAATCCCCCCCCCCCCCAACCCGAGACCCCGAGCCCCCGGATCCTGGGACCTACGGTCCCACCCTCACCCCGACCCCCTAAACTCGCACCCCGACACCCTAGCACCCCCGCCCCCAGGACAAGCCAACCCGCAACCAACCATAAACCAACCCTAAACCAACCCTAAACTAACCCTAAACCAACCCTAAATACACCCTAAACCAAACCCTAAACCAAACCTTAAACCGTAAACCTCTAAACCTAAACCAACCCTAAACCAACCCTAAATCAACATAAACCAACCCTAAACCAACCCTAAACTAACCCTAAATACACCCTAAATACACCCTAAACCAATCCCTAAACAACAAACCCTAAACCTAAACCAACCCTAAACCAACCCTAAATACCCTAAACCAACCCTAAATACGCCCTAAACCAAACCCTAAACCAAACCCTAAACCAAACCCTAAACCAAACCCCAAACCGTAAACCTCTAAACCTAAACCACCCTAAACCAACCCTAAATCAACATAAACCAAGCCTACACCAGCCCGAAACTAACCCTAAATACACCCTAAATACACCCTAAATACACCCTAAACCAATTCTAAACCAACCCTAAACCAACCCTAAACCACCACAACCCAACCACAGGACCACAACCGCGGGGGGGGGGGTACTTGTCTGACCCATAACCATGGGGGGGCTGGCAACCCTGTGATACCCGAATTGGTGGTTTGGGACTGAAGTTGGCACGAGGGACTCCACGCAAGGCCTACGTCCAACTAAAAGGGCGTGTCGTTTTTGAGGGTAATCCTTGTTGGTCGGTGTTAAATGGAAACTACAAGAAAAACCCATCCATTTTGGAGGGAGGGGGGTTGACTCAAAAATTGCAAAACCAAAAGAACGCCCATGGTGCGAACCGATTGAAGGGGAACAGGACATAGACTTCGGACAGCCCGGCATGTTGGGGAAAGATAAAGATCAATTCCACTAGCAATCTTGGTTGCTGTCGACCCCTCTGCAAAGACTTTAACTTTTTCTGGGTCCAATTGAAAAAGTTAAAGCCCAAAGATCCAACCAAATAGTCGTCAACCAGTGTCAACCAAACTAAAACCAGTAAGGCTACATACCGTTTTCTGATGCCCTAAAAGTGAACCACTTGTGGTCTAAATTCCGAAACCCAACCTCTAAACCAGCCAAAAACCACTTTTTTCACCTTCAAAGAACCGGACACTTCGCTGGTTCGGAAGCCCCAAGATACGCTTCCAACCCCTTCTGAACCCACCTCCCCCCAGGCCCGAAGCACGATCCATCGCTCGCTCCAAGGCGCGAAGGGGTGGTGCCCAATCCGCGACTCGAATGCCTCAAGCACCTCGTGGCCCATGTACTCCAGTCCTGGGCTCAGAAAACCCATGGACCAAAGGAGTCGGAAATCAAAAACCGAACCAAAGACCTTGCATGCGATTCATGGGTTGAAAACCACCAAACAAGGGGGGAAAATTTAGGGACCCGCACGACACACCATGGAAACTTGGCTAGGTCCTCCAGTAGAGAGGTTAGAATAAGTTGGTACCCGATGTTTCTTCTGTAGCCTCGTTTAGTAGGGGCGCCCTCCCTCAAAAAAAAAAGCTAAGAAGGTGCACCTAGCCGGGGGACCTAGGAATACAACCGATCGGGGTTTGTGGATGGTTTCTTGAAATCCATGTCGCACCGTCTGATGATTCCATGGTGTCTGATTCGATTCCCGCGTATACCAAGAAACCATTGGGCTGTGGCTCAAAAAACCGGAATTCCAAAATGGAACCTTGGTAAGTGGAAACATGGACCAGAACCCGCGTAACCCCTCCTGTTTAATTGTGAGCCACAGCCATTGGTGTTCCATTGTTTCAAAGGTGCAGGAGTTGGTCCATCCACAGTATCAAAATGGTCGAAATGGACGAACCATGCTTCAACAAGGCAACCGTGAGTTGGGGCTATCCCTTCACCTTCATCCACCCGGGTTTCGATTGTGGCTTTCTTTGAGGGTAGAGTTGGGTGAAAGGGTTTGGATGGCACAATCGCCTGCTTTTGGTTTGGGGCTTCATCTCAGATTACTTACCCACGTAAAGGGAATTCACTCTCACCCTCGTTTGTCTCCTTCCTCGAACGCAAAACGCCAGGGAAACCACCCAGTTTCAGGGGATCCACCTATTTTGAGGCAAATAAGAAGTTCCACCCAGGCGATATCAACCCCGGATTATTCTTGTGCCCCAAAGTGACCCAGATCCGAGGTACTCCCCTTTTGGCTATCTTTGGACTTTAAGTGTTGGGAAACAGTGGAATTGTCCATTGGGCCCACAGAGGTTTAAAGTGTTTGCAGGGATCAACAGCAACCAAGCTCCCCTGCAGATTGACAACCCATGCTTTCGCCATTTGTAGAGGGAGCTCCTTTTGAAGGACCCCCCCCACCCCATTTGAGGCGCTTGATCTTTAGGGGAGGTCGACCCCGGGTTTGTTGCCTCCGCTGGCCCGGCTCCAAACCCGCCCGAACGATTGAGGAACTGGTCGTCAAGGCCTTCCATTCTCACAGGGCTCGGGCGGGAGGGAACCCAAACAAAACCTTATGGGGATCGCCTCCCCCCGCCGCCCTCAACAAGATTTAGGTTCCCCTTCCTCCTCCCCAAGCCGCACGGCATCACAAAGTGTTGTGTTGCGTTCAGCAATCTGTTGAAAATTCGTCCTTTTGGAGTTGGTTATTTCCACTGCTGCAATATAATATGTTTGGTCACCTGTCACCTTCAGACTCTCTGAAACATTTGTGGAGAGTATTGGTGATAATGATAATGGTGTTGATTTGAGTGAAATGGTTGTTGTGAATGTTGGTAAAAGTAATAATGACATGATTGTTTGTGTTGTTGTGTGTTTTAGCGCGCTTCTTGGCAGGTGGTTCAAGGGAAATCAATGGAACACTAAGCCATTTTGGGGGTGCAACCTTAAAAAAGGCACATGCAGGTGTTTTTGGGGACCCCCCAAAATGGAGCTTTTGGTTCCCATTGATTAAAGCATACCCGAAAAGGGGTACCGGCAAACAAAAACACACCCATTGGTCCAAAGTCAGGTCGGCATCGACTCACCTTGCCGCTACTTAGGTGGTTTGGGGCCCAGCGTGGAGGCGTTCCGGGGCGTAGTTTCCGATGTGCGCACAAGAACCAGGGACCCGTTCAACTCCAAATCCAAGCTACAGGGCTCCAAGCCACCAAAGAGTGACCTCATCAACCCCGGAAGTCAGATTTCGAGGCCTGCTGTTTGGACACACAACTTGGACAAGCATTAGCCCTTTCTCCTTGTTGTGAGGCTCGGAAAGGATCCAGCTCAAGGGAACCCAATTTCTTCCAACCCACCTGCGTTGAGGTCCTGAGAAACCGCCGGGCAAATCATGGAGGTCAAACATCCGAGCTCCTGGGAAAAATCGGGAGCGTCGGTGTTTGACGTTGCCGGAAACTCCACTGCCGAAAGCTCCCGCTAAGGCCGGGCGGCGGGTCTTCACCTGCGATCGGATACCGGTCGTGGCTTGCTCTCCCAGTGGATCCTATTTTGTGTGTGGGGGGGCACCTGGAAGAGACACTTCCTCTTGATGCCATGGCAGCGTTAGAGTGACAGTAACCCTTCGAGTTCTTTTCCTTTGGTTTCGAAAGGTTCTCTTGGACACCTGATTTGTAAATGGAATCACTTTCGGTTTCTTTCAAGAGGCGCGCGCTACTTTTGGGACTCTGCATGATCTCCGCGCTTCTTCCAGCTCCCAGACGCACACTGCAAAGGGACAACCGGTTGACTGGGTGAGGTCGGGCTAATTGGGGGGCATGATGCCCCTCAAACCCAAGCCAAAGATCACAACTCGACACACACACACACATGTAGTGATATATATATATATATGTGTGTATACGTACGTGCATATGTATCTACGCATATTCTGTAAAAAAAACACTCTCAGGCGCCTACGTTCGCCGTCGGCAAATGGGGGTGTTTACCTGACGACTGCTGCAAGCCAGCCTGTGACTTCGCAAGGCTTGCCGCCGACATTTCATCAAGGCGAAATGGCAAATACTGACACCCTGTTTTCAGGCTGCCTTGCAAGTTTGCCCCTTCAGATAAAAGAGGCATGATACTCAGTTGCCAAACAGTTTCATGAAGATCATAGTAGCTTATCTGCCACTCTCTCATGGAAGGTGTTGTGAGGGACCGTGCTCGAGCGTGCTTCTCACTCGGCAACCGTGCGATGCTGCAACTGGCAAAAGCATGGCTTGCTGCAAGACACGCCAAGGCCGCAGTCAGGCCGTCGTAGCGGCTCCGGGACGTCCTCCACAGTCTTGACGGCGACTGGGCGCTGAAGCGAATGGTTTTTGCTGATCAGACAACACTGGGACCTCAAAATGCGAAGCTTTTGCCGTCAAATCTCTCAGAACCCCTATGTGCAATAGTTTGCTACTTTTGGCATTTGCCGATAGAATGTCTGGGGATGTCAAACCTCTGGGGACCTCTAAGTGTACGTGCTATAGTTTGCGACCTTTAAAATTAAACAATTCTTGGAACACCTCTGCGGGCTGTCCACAGCACAGCCTGGCCCTTCACTGTGGCATGTGCTGGGTGATGGCCATGGCGCCGGCCATGCGCAGCACCGCATCGGTCGTGTTCTGCTGGTTTACCTTGACCGATGTGACCGCCAAGCGGGCCGCCTTCACCTGGATGCCACCTCGCGTGCGGGCGCGTTCTCGCGGCGGCTTCCTCAGTGATTAGAGCTGATCAAATGTGACCTCCATATCGCGGCGAGCCAGAAGTGCACGTGCCAGGGCCAAAACTGGACTCTACAGCAAAGGCCCTCGTACAGTACGGAGCGGCACATGTTTCAAGGCAGATCAGTTCAGTGCTTGTGCAAGGTGTTCAGAAGCTGATGCGGAAGGTGAGGGCGAACTAGCCATTCCTCCCGGGGAACTTCTGTTCATTGCATACGTAACAGGTGATTTCAGTGGCAGTGCAATGTTGGCCTTGCAAGAATCAGGTCTGGAGGGCAGACTGGTAAAAGTAAAATTGACATGTTCACATAGAGACGCGCACACCCACCCACACCCATACATATATACACACACATACACACACACACATACAGACACTCGCACTCACACACATACACACACACACACACATGCGCACTTAAGCCCGTGTTCTAGTCGGGAATGTTGTTGTTGGCACGCAGCTTTTCGTTGGTTGTGAACTTTGCTTGAAGTCTTCTGAGGCAAGCAGTCATGCCATGCCCACGCTAAAACTCGGGCACTATGATTTCGTGGCAAAGCGGCCGAAGGAAAACGGCTCATGCACGAGCACATGCTCCCACTGCTGGTTGCACCAGGGCAGGTTAACATCTTGCCGTTTGGCAAAGTAGGCATAGTCGTTGCATGGCGTGAACATGTCAACATTACTTTTACCCTTCTGTCCTCCAGATCTGATTCTTGCAAAGCCGACATTGCACTGCCACTGAAATCACCTACTAATTATACAATGTTCAGAAGTTTCCCGGGATGAATGGCTGGTTAGTCCTCACCTTCGATGCGGACGACCACACTACTGTCATACAGCCAGAAGCTGCCTGCATTCTCCGGCCCATTGCCGGACTTGGCCTAGGCGTAATACAGGACCGTGTAAGCCTTGTCCCCAGAACTCAATGCAGTCGTGAGATTCTCATCTTCCGCAATGTCTCCGTACAACTGTCACCCCCTTTGCATCGGAGATGCGAAATTCTTGCATCGCCATGTCGGATGGACCTTCCATTGATACCTATTTCTTTGCTCGCTTTTTTTGCCGCTCGAACACGCAGTTAACGCCCCATTCTTCAATATCATCCCAGGGAACACAGAACGTAGTTCTATCGACATAGGGCATGCAGGAAAACGTGACACAATAGCAGCTGATTGTGGGACCGCAGAAAAATCCTACCCATCCAATAGCATCACCCAGGTAATATTATCTACTGCTTGCACAAGAGGTAGATTCAGAAAGCAGCACCCCGCACTGCCAGAAGAATGATCCGGACGACTGTCAGCGCACGATTAGTAAACACCCCCATTAAAGGCTTCCCCTTTTACCTTCCAAAAACACCCTCTCCATGGCAGTGTCAGGAAATAGCGGGGGCTATTGATTAAACCGAACCCCAAATAAATCCTCGGGAATGCACAACCTTCATGCGGGCCCTGCCACGGAAAAGCAAACCCGCCCTGCGCGGCTCGTCAATTTTCCTGACTGTTCATTCGTACACTTTGCTTGATCACACGGATCTGGACACGTGAATTGCAATCAAAACGAATATTGATAGATGCACTGATTGCATCCTCAGTTGGAACTTTCTGCGGCCGCGCCGTCACAGAGTGGCACCCAACAAGCTTTTGGCCGGATGGCCTGATTCATCGCCCTCAAGTACGGCCAAGACGCCTGCGCGGTCTGGACCCGGGCTGACACCGCGGCAGGGTTCAGGCACTGCAGAGGTCCCGAAGGTGGCCGAGAAACAACGAGACAGTTGGCGATCAAACCCAATGCAAGGTCAGCCGCCTGAGCTGGCGAAATATCAGGCTGGCAGGTTGGCTCTGTCATAGGTGGCCAAGAATACGATCTCCCCCGGCCAAACAATTTCCAAACATATAGGCTGTGCCTATCCAGTTGGTAGCTGAAGCTCAAAAACGTGTACTTGATGAATTTCTCTGATGTATACACCTTGGTGGCACCAGGTCGGGTGCACGCAGAAGGCGCCCCCAGTCTGTAGCAGAAGCGAACGAGCTGCGCCTCGTACAAGTCCAGCATCTCCGTTTCAGTGGCCGAAACATCAGGGCTCAAACCTTGCGGGCCTGAGCCCTCCTGCCGCACAGGGGGCCACTCAACGCCTTGAGCTGCCAGCCAGTCCCTCGCATGCTCAGCAAACTCTGCGTCATTCCCAGAACCCCAATAGAGCTTGTTGTTGTCCGAAGAATAATATTCGCACGCCAGGCCTTCGACAGTCTGGTATCCGGGAATGAGACAAGCAGAAGAACCCAAATGCCACTCAGTCAGAATCCGAAGCTTTTTCAGAAGCTGAAGCATTGGCTTCTGCACACGGCGAGGGCAAAACTCTTCATCTTCGCCGATGAGGCGCGCCAAATATTCTTCTGCTCCATGTCCAATCAAAAGCAAAGGCCCTTGGGCGTGCCCCAGAAGCTGGAAAAAGCGTAGCACCAGCAAGAGCACCAGAGAGCCACCCATGTAGCGTGACAAGAAGTTGCGCAATGTCTCACTTGAAGACATTGCCCACTGGAGCCGCACAGTAACCCCTGTCACCAAAAGCTCATCTGCAAGCCCAAGAAGGTACTTTGCAACCTTGTCCAACAAGGGCGTGCGCTCGGCCGGTTCGTCCTCGGAGCCGCTCTCATTCTCGATGTCCGCCTTCGAGGGGCGGCCTTTCTCTCGCAAGTGAAAGTCAGCCCCGCGCTTGCGCTTCCAGATCGCTGCGGGTTCTCGAGGCAGTAGAAAACTAAAGTACTCTGGCATATCACATGATCGTATGGCCGTGCACATGTTGCAGCCAGTTCTCAGTTTGGCCTGTCTAATCAGCAGCTCGCTGATTCCAACTTACTGAAGCGCCCTCCAAGATGAGCAGTTGCATTGATGTAAGTTCCCATGGCAGGAATCCCAAACAGGCACATCACAAAGATGGTGCCAAAATGGAGTGTGGCCAGCCCAAAATGCAAATGCGAATGCCTTGTTTAAGTCATCAGTGTCAACTGCATTCTTGCCTTTGTCAGCCATATGCCATCCCTGGTCCACCTACTATTACCCCCTAGTGGCCCAAAGGCTGCGCCGTGAATCGTCAGCAGTTTGCTGGCTCCACCTGACAGCGTCTGTGCTTGGTGGTACGCCATCAAGATTCGCAGATGATTGATGTTAGCTTCACTGGCTTAAGAGGCGAACATCCAACAAAATCCCGCGCTTGTGACTGGCCCCAAGGCGGTGACCCTGCTGCACTACGCTTGGCCAGGCAGCTGCTCCTTGGTTGGGCTCACGGCTCAAAAACGTGTGATCTGGCGCTTCAAAGCGAAACCTTCCTCAATTGGCCACGCAATGCCAACAACAGTCTTTGCTGCTGCCGCAGTCTTTGCTGGCTTGTCGGGGTCAACTGATGCAGAGTGGGCCTGGGAATAATGAATGCATGCAAAAATGCACAAAAAAGGCAATGATCCCAGTCGAATGGATAATATTTGCAGGAATCACAGTATCTCCCCATCAACTTGAATCTGATATATGGCCCAGCAGGCCTAGGGATGGATGTATACCTTTTGCGTGCGTTCTTCCCGCAACCTTCTGGATTTTTTTGCAGAGAAGGCTTTCAGATGGGACGGGTGCTCTTTGAGGACCGTCCTTAAACTTCCTGGGATGGCCCCCAAACATTTGCCTAGTTGAGACCCTGCCCTGGCCTTGAACGATGGCTCCCGGGCAGCTGCCAGCCACTGCACCTCAAATAACAGAGGACAATTACATGTCCCTACAAAATCACCATTACCGGCACCATACAAAAACCGATCAAGGAACCCACTGAACAATCATCTGGCATAGACAGCCATCCCGTGTGTGTGTTTTTGGCAAAAATGTGCAAAACCGCCCCAACAACACAGCTGGAGATTCTTGGCGCGTAGTAGCAGCCGCTGTCCTCTCGCGACAGGGCCAGCAGCAACTCCAGCGGACGCAACACTACAGACGAAGCGAAAGAGCGTTCCAAAATCAAACGCCAGAGTGTGATAGACTGCCAGGCAAGGGGCTGCCTCCGCCCACTTGCAGAAGCTTAGTCGGCTTGCCCTTCTGATTCCCCCAGTCCTTCCGTAATAAGCCGCCCAACTCGCGGCTCAGGCGAGAAGAGCGGCAGCCGGGGCCAGACGGCGCGCGCCTTTAGGCCGGACACGCAAGGAGGCTGCTATTGGGCCGTCGCGTCAGTGGGGACTTGGCCCTCGCTGCGTTCGTCTCCTGAACCTGCGGGGGAAAAGCAAAAAAGCAAAAACCAAACGAACAGCTCACTCCTGGAATGCGTAGACAGGAGAGCCTCTGAGGGCATCCTCCTTGTGGCCTGCGCTGAGCTCCAAGAACTTCTCAGCCTCTGCACCAACCTGAGAAGGTTAGCGCGTGCGACTGCCTCGCCTGCCTCTGGATTCGAGCACTTTGCACAGCGCCATTTCAAGCCGTGTGGGAGGATGTTCCAGCGGTACTGACAAGATTCCCGACTGCCCAAAGTGGTGGAAAGTATTGCCTTTCGCTTGCCTGCCCGAAAGAGTAACCCTAGACATCACGCGAACTTGGATGGGTTCATGACCGTTGTAGCATCGGGCATAGTGCATTTCAAGCATTTCGTGCGTCTCTCCGACAGGACTCTCCAAGGGTTGCCAGCCCCTAGAACAAACCCGCGGCTGGGCAAAGCTTGCTCAAACAAACGCGCGCCCATCTCAACAAAATGGGTTGGCGACCAGGAGAGGTCGTCTGCAAAGCTCCCCACCCCTTTCAGCAACAAAGTTTCATTTTCCATGAAACTTGATGATCAAGGAGGCCAGCGGGCCCTTCCTCCAGTCGACACTTGCCCACATGGCTACCTCAACTTCTAGCCTTCCGCTGTCCACGCGCTGCGGGGCAGCAAGGGCCGACTACCAGGACTAAACCTAAACTGCGGCAGTGATAATGCAGCAAAATTGCCAAAATCTTGGTCTCAGCCAGCGAATATCTAACAATAGCTGACGTGAGCTCACTTTTGACGTGTGTCTGAGCTCTAGCCCTGTCCGAGGCCAGACGTTGATCATGATTTTGAGTGGACCCTAGGAATGTGCGGGCCGCCGCGGCACCAGGACGTGGCGGGTGTGGACTGGGACGCTATCACCTCACCCAGTCGTGGTTGAGCGACGGCGAACGCAGGCGCCTGCGAGTGAAAATGTGTGTATGTATCAATATGTATGTGTATAATACATATATTACAATATGTGTGCGCTGCTGTTTCTTGTTCATCATAGGATGCGGCGGCACCCCCTCTAACATCTATGTTGGGGGCTCCAACCCAACAAACGACACGCGCCGCCGCTTTTCCAACGAAAAGCGTCAAAGCCCCCCACGCTCGCTCCCACCGAGAGACGCCTGATCCAACACCATGTCTCCCACGGAGGACAGCCAGACCACCGGGTAGCCTCGGGTGACAACAACCGGCGGTTTCGCACAGTGTCGCGCAGACTGGATCGCTTGTGGGTGTCCACAAGGGAAGGCGTTCATAGGTGTCCTTTTGATCGTTTGGTCTGGTTAGGAATGGTGGGCCAATACTGCCAGAAAGTCCTGCTGTGTCCAACCTTAACAACACTTATGTCCATGTCCAAGGGGTCCTGTGGACAAATTAACAAATGTCCGGCAACGTCCAGCTATCTCTTTCTAAGATGATGCAAGAGAAACAATGAGAGCCGAGGCGGGGTGTTTCCAAAGTACCAGAAGACAACACATAGAACCCATTTGCACAAATACAAGTGCCTAAATGAGTACAGTACAAACATGTACTTCTCTATGACCTTTTTGGGTGAACAGTACCCCGCAGCCCCATTCTAACTAAACTATTGACCCGTACAGCATTCTGGTCTGGGTTTTTGCCAGTTGCAAGCCGCGCGGTTTCGAAGGCGGCCATAAGTTTGTAAGGGCGCTACAAAATGCACTCGAAGTGTCCACTGGAGGTGGTTGTGTGCGTGTGGGTGCTTTTCGCTTGGCTCCCCTAATCAGTCAAAGGGAAAAGTGGGTCGCTTGAGCTTTCAGGCGGTTCCAATGACGGGCGAGTGCTGGGTATATCTCTAAAATAGGGGTGCCCCAAAATGGTGGGATTTCTTTTAGTGTCCCCGATAAAACCAACCAAATGGGGTACAAACTAAAATGATTGGAAATGGTTGGATCTTCTCTAAAACCAACATAAGGGTACCAGCTCCAAAACAAGACACGCCCCGCTGGTTTCTTTCTCGCCACAAAGGAGTGGGCCCTCGTCGTTCGCCATCCAGGCCGACGAAACTCAGCCTACCTCTTGGTTAGCCCGGTTTGGACCTTGGGCCCACCAAAACCCCAGTTGGCTCAACTGGGATTCAAACCGACTCTTTTGAAGCCAACAAAACATATTTGGCTTAACCTTGGACCTTGGAAACCAAAAAACCGCCGTTGGCTTGGAGCTTCACGTCCACACCGGATCTTCGGGCCCAGCAAACCCCCTTTGGCTTAGGAACTGGGGATCAAACCCACCGATCCCAAATTTTCAAGGCTTGCCCGGGTGAGCTCCCTTGACCCGAAACAACGGCCCAAGCCAAGCTGGAAACCAAGCTGAGGCCGCATTTGGTCGGTTCCGGAAGGAAAGCCACCGCAACCGGGATGATTCAACGCTTGTTGGTTTCAAGGGAAAAGAAATAGCCCCCGAACCTCGAAAACGCCAATCTCAGGGTTACCCTGTTTCCAACAAGAACATGGAAGTGGACGTTTGTTTGGCCTTGCGGGGGTGGCAGTCTTCTCGTCTCGTCCACTTCGGAGCGTTCTTGAAACCAAAGGGAAACCATCGGCCTAGGGTTTGGGTAGGGGGGCCCTAGTCTGCCGCCCAAAGCCAAACATACGTTTAATTACTTCTACTTGATTTGTAAAACAAAAAAGTATAGCAAATCTAGCTGTTGTGGCCAGCTCCAACATGCCTCATTCCCTTTAGCTGACCACACCAAAAATCGGAGAAACAAAGCGATAGGTTCCCTTAAAAAACCAACCGGAAAAAATAACATGGAGAAAACAAATAAGAACTTAAACGTTAAAAAAAAGAGTCCCTTCAAAATCAACAGGGAAATACAAAATAATAGAGAAAACAAAGAAGAACTTAAATAATCCCCCAGGAAAAAAACAAGATAGATAGATTCCCTGCAAAAGCAACTGGGATGTAAAAAAAAAAAAAAAACGGGGGATCGGAAGCCGCGGCGCTCGCCAGCTGCCGGTCCTGGTTCCAGGCGGCCTCGAAGAGAAGCAGCGCCTGCGGCTCGTGGCCCACGGGGGCCCTTGGTTCGTCTTTTTGGTTTCGGAGACTGATTCAGCCTTTCCCTGATTGGTTTGAGAAATTAAAGCCTGGAGTCTTTCTCTAGGAAAAAAAACATGATTGGAGACCCCCTTCAGCCTCCCCCGTTGGGTGGTTGGGGGAATTGAAGCTTTCGGAGACCCCCTTCAGCCTGCCCCCGTTGGGTGGTTGAGGGAATTGAAGCCTGGAGGCGTGTCTTTCGTTTCGGAGACCCCCATGATTCAGCTGAGTGGCTTGGCTTGGAGGTTTGGGGACTACCCCTGGCTGTTGTGGAGGCGAAACGGGAAAAAAAAGCCTCTAAAACCTCCAATTCAAACCGGTAGGGAAGCTGAAGGATGGAGTTCGGGCTTGCTTTTGGTTTCCCGAAACAATAAAACAAAAAAGCAAAAGAGATACCGATTTTTGCTTTTGGATTTTTCCCCCTTCCCCGAAGAACTCATGGGCCCCCAGCCCCGAACGGCTCGAACCGAGCGCCCGCCTCCGGAATCCACCCGGCGACGTCCGCGGGGACCAGCACGGTGCCGCCCTTCCGCAGCGTGCCGATGGCCTCCTCACGCGACAAAACGTGGATCGGGGAAAAGGCGTCAAGCCCCCGACGTGGCATATCTTTCAAGGGGATCTTTCCAGGGATCCGATTCTTTTTACAAAAACCTCCGGAAACCCAGAGAAAACGGATCCGGTGTTCGGAAAGAACGATGGTTGAAAAGAATGGGGAATCAACACCTAGAATTTTCTTGGGGAATCGGGGGATGCCACCAAACTTGGGGCGTCCCGCAAAGCGATGTTCAAGAGCATTGTTGGGGCTGGTTTTCACACCAGTTAGAGGGCCATGAATTGGGGGCTCATTTTAGCGGAGACCAGTGGGGAGGGGGGAGGTGGATCCTATGGTTTGTCAGCAGGTATCCATTTGCTCGAACAAGCAAATCATCGATCACCCTGTGCATTTAGTGAAAGGCAAAATACCAGCTTTGGGGTTGGGGATTATTGATGAAACCAGGGATATATAAAAGGCGCAACCTTGTTGCCCCTCTTATGACTGGTTTTAGCCCAAGGATTCACGTCCAAGCATCCAATCATGGGCGTGGACGATCGTAAAGTCTTAGCGAAGACTACCGTCCTCTTGAAGCAGGCGTCGCTGGAGTTCCCCTTCAAAGGTTGCAATGTCCTGGCGCCTTCCATGTAAAGGATCGCCACTTTGGGGGCCTCAGGCCCCAAACGTTCCATTGGGGAGAAAGGGTGCTGGTTGAAAACCAACAAGGGCCACGCTGGAACAGGGAAAAATGACCCGCTGGGGGGGGCAGGGTTGGGGGGTGGTACCTACTTGGTGTTTATGATGCAAAGTCAGTAAGCAGTTTCTGACCTAAGTTCGAACCCTCTTAGCTCGCAAAGAGGAGTTGGCCTGATACCCAAAACAACTTGGACACAGTTGAGAAGCATTCAAGCAGCCGTGGGATGGGACTAGGGCTTCGACAAGGGAACCAACATGCAAACACCTGGGAGGGTCCTTTGACCACAAATGACGCACGTTTAGCGTCAGCCCGGACCAAGGAACATGAAACTGAAGAGGATCTGAGACCCCCAAACTTGGCTACTTGGGAGCACCGGGTTCTTCGTGTGCGCCCGGTTGCACCCCCTGCAAGCAAGAAAAAGGAACCTAAACAGCGGGGTGCCAGTCCCCCGAAAGGGCGGGGGGGGGGGGGGGTCTTTGTGTTCCCAGCTAACATTGGGATTTGGTGAGCAACCCTGAATGGCTGAATGGAAATTGAGGGACTCTTCTTGACCCATGTCGGCAAATATGGTTGTCGTGTTGTTGGGGGGAGACCCTATGCCCATGGACACTTGAAGTAGATCTTGCAGCCAAAAACCATTTGAGAAACCAATACCCTCAATTGAAGGTGCGTTGCAAAATCGACCCCTTTGTATTGTTCCAAGGAAAACCTTTGTGCGCCAAACAGACCCCCCCCCCCGTTTGGTGGGTGTTCCAAAAAAAACCAAGCGCGCTTGGGGGCAGTTCCCATTCTGCTGGTATCGCGCGCCTCGAGAAAGCACTGCTCCCTCACGGACCGCGCCACGGACATGGCCTGCCATACGCAGCACTGATTGTTCTCGGTTGCGAAATCTGCTCCCCTGAAAAAAAAGAAGAAAAAAAAACTTTAGTGGTTTAGTGGAAAACCCATTAGATGGCAAGAAGAAGAAGTCCTAACATCCAAGCAAAATGAAACAAAGTGTTGACCTGTGCGGCTTGTCGATCAGAGACTACCACCCTCTGGTGATACTCGCCTCAAACTACAGTGGGAAGCTCCGGGAATTCTATCAGCACCGTTTGGCTTGGCAAGTGGCTGGACATCCTCCCCAAAAGGGTTGGCAAATGGTCCGCTCGCATCCGAGGCTTGGCAAAATGGGCTCGGCCCCGATTTGCGCCCCTCTTTTTTTTTGGCCCTAAGACATATGCTGGGCAGTTCATTTCATCAATGTGTTTCTCTATTCATTTATTTACTTGTTTATGCATTTATTCATTGATTTATCTAGTCACCTGTAGTACTCGGCTCTTTTGTCTGTTCCCCTCTTCTGTGCTTTGTTTGGTTGTTCATCTAAATGGTTTGAGGTGTTCTACGCTAATGGGCCCTTGTGAATGGACCCTTAACTTGTCCCACTTGCATACCCCTTACACACCTTATGTAGGCACGATGGGCAAAGCTGAGACGCACTCATTTCTCTGTGTCCTTGCTGACCTATCAAAAATTGAGACCGAACCTGACAATGGCTGATCTGCCCAAACCCATTCCCGACTACTCGACTTCTCGGGTTCTCGGGTCAAAAATTAGTGAGTCTATTGATCTATGTTTGTCTAGGTGCTTGGTTGCTCATTTGGCTGTGGGTCAAAACCCCGTACCCCTGGTGAACATCAAAACAGGTGGCAAATGGATGTTCATCCACCCAACAATGGAGCCATAGATCATGCCCCATGGCTATTGGCTGCTTGGCTGCTTCACCCGTTTCTGGGCAGCCGTAAGAAGGATTCTTCTGGCCTAGGTGTCAGCTGCAAGTTGATCGGACTCCAGCCGCGTTCAATTTTATCCATGGACCCTAGGTGTCCTTTTTTGGAAAATAGATGGGTTTCCCTGGTAGATGATTGATCCGCCAGGAATCGCCCTCTCTTTTTTTTTGCCAAAGTGACCAAAAGGGACACCTATGGGACCCTGCCGAACTGGGGCGAACTGGGGGGGGGGGGGGCAACTCCTTCTTGACCCCTTCATAAGGCCGTACGGCCTTGTCAACTTGGCTTATCAACTTGGCTTATCCAGGGATAGCACTTCCTCTCCATAGCCTGTTTTAGGGGTCCGTGACTTTATGGGAGAGATCAGTCGAGTCATACCGAAAACTCGGTATTGAAATGGTCGCAATGGACCCAGAACCAAAAAAACGAAAGACATTCAGGCGGCGGAGGCACCCATTTCTGGCTGGGAGTATCCCTTACCAACCTTCATGGCTCATTCAGGGAATGTATCTTGGTTGACGGTGGAAGGGGAGCAACAAACAATGTTTAGCAGTTAAGTGGGGATGTCCCACTAAACCACAATAAGCAAAAATGTAAAATGTTTCCCAACAACAACCATGGTAGTTGCCACCACAAGACTGTAGCTCACTCTTGCAATTCAGACGCCTGTTGAATCTGCGCCGTTCCCCTAGGCAAATTGTCACGACTTCTCTGCCGCTTGTTCTTCGGGTGCCTAGCTGTTTGACTCAGACCCAAACGCGGTCGGCGAAAAAGACAGTGCGCCCGAAAGCCGTGGAGCATACCCCACCCCGCCCAAAAAAAGAAGGAAGAAATGGGCGGTATCCCCGACAGCAACCCCCGGAACCCTCCGGAACCCTCCCAGAAAGCTGCCCCACACCACCCCACACCGCGCATTTGGGCAGAGACCCCAAAGGTGCCACCTGTTAGCGAAAAACCTGGGGATGGCTGTCTGACAGAAATTTCGCGATCTTCGGGGGATCCAAAAACTTGAAAGCTCCAAGGCTGCTGGACCTCAAATGCTACAAAAAACAAACATGTGTAGTGCTCGGGAGTGCTTGATGTTTACCACACGGGTAGCCCGATATTCAAACCTCAGATTCATTTCTACATTCGGCAGATCGCGGCATGGGAAGCCTGCGGAGTGCACGCGGCCGCGTCCAGGTGGTTTCAGGGTACGGAGTATTGGATGAAACGGTGACGGCTCCGTGCGCAAAACGGCGTTAGACTTTTGTAGGTTTCATGGAAAGCCATGTGTTTCCAAAAGGTCTAGGGGCGATTCGGTCACGCCAAAGGCCAGCCAACCTTTTGCAAACTCTGCTTGAAACCTCCGGCGCTTTGGCCCAAGAATGCGGGCAATCGCAATCACGAGTCCATTTGCTCGATGCGAGCGCTGCCCAGCGTCTCAAAAGAAGCCTGATGGCCCGTGCGGTGGTCAAAACGCCTTGCATGTGTATGCTTACTCCTTGAGTGTGACGTGACTCAGTTGTTCAGTGACCCTGGAAAAATAAAGGAACCTTTTTTTTGGAAGACCATTTTAGTGGGGCAGCCACCCAAAAAAAAAGGGGAAAAGGGAGCCACTGAACAACTGACGTGATGTTGTCATGCTGTGCAAAACCTCGCAGTCGTCGAACGCCCTCAATGGTCGGAGACCCCATTTTCCCCGGGCAGGCGATGGGCCATTCGACCACAACACAGCTCGCGGCTCGCTTTCCGGGGCGCTTAAAATGCCCCAGGCTCAGTATGAAAACGGCCAGGAGTCGTATCACTTCCTGACAGGGGGCGGTTCTGCCGTTCTGCCTTTCGCTGCTTCCGTGGCACCCATGCGAAGATCGTTCGTTCAGTTTGGTTCGCAACATGTGGGGAATGGTGTGCAACATCCCCCCAAAACTGAACAGAAAAGCCAGACGTGCTACTTCTTGATGATGCCTAGTGCAACAAGCATCGCATCCTTTCTGAACACCGAGGCATCTGTCACTTTAGGCGCAAAGAATTCAGTCATGAGACATGGCAATATCTTGAACCAACTGAACCCGTATTATATAGATGTGTTTGTATGTGTATATATATATATGCATGTTTACATGTGCTACCCCAAAAAGCCTACCTGTTTCAGGTTTCTGCTGCATGCTGCTTCAATAAACATACTGCACACAAACAACCATCAAGAAGTAGCATGTCTGGCTTTGTTGTTTAGTTTTTTTTTGGGGGGGGTGTTGCACAACAGTCCCCATATGTCGCAAACCAAAAAGCAAAAAACAGCCTGTCCAGTCATGGGGGGATTGGTGTTTGTTGTGCTTGTTTGCTTTTGTTTGGCTAGTGGACATGTTGTGCAACTTTGTCCGAATGTTGCGCAACGTGTTGGCCAACATGTTTCAATCAAGCCAAACCACAAAAACCAAAAGACAAAAAATAACTAAACAGCAAACACACAAACAAAAAAGAAAAACTTTCCGCCACGGTGGGAGATTGGTTTCTTGGTATTTTGTGTGTTTGTTGTGTGTTGTTTCTGCTGTGTTCGATGCTTTTGCTCTGTGGTCCGGTGGCCGCGGCTGCGTGGGAGGATTGACATGTCGCGCGACATTTGCGAACCCAGCTGAGAGCGGAAATGTTGCGCAACATGAGCGGCTTCTTCCAAACGATTTCATTTTGTGGAGTGGCCTGATTTGAAGATTCACAGAAACTTCTCGGTGCAATCTTGGATGTTGGGTCAAGCCCAAAAAAAGGCTTGACCTTCCTGTTTGAGGGGAGAAATGACATACACTGCGCAGTTTTGACTTTTTAGGGGAGGAATGATGACCTGACAAATGCCGAAAAAGACCGCAGGGTACTGCATTTGTTGTCAAGGATCATGGCCCAGTTCGTGCTTACTTCAAACTACACGAAACTAAACTGGCGGCGCGCGTCTCCCTTTGAAATCGAAGTATGTCAATAGTTGAGCTCGGCATGTTTTAGGAACGAATGCAAGTGCTTAATGTTGACTTTGTGTTGAAATTGAAAAATAATCTTGATTTGGATATTCTTCTGATATGTGATATTTAATAAATGTTGTTGACATTGTTCCAAAACAAATGACTAGATATTGATTTCAAATGACTATTTTGAGAGAAGTGAGTTAGAATGTAACTGGAACTGCGCAAGGACATGGGGCACTTTTCCAATTGCTTTGGATATCAATTTCAGATGCAAATAGAAAGTAATTTCCCCAAAATTGAAGGTTGGCTGCATTCCCCCGCAAAATGATAAGAGTAAAAACGCGACAACAGGTTTGTTATAGGCAATTTGAAGCTACCAACGTGTTATAAACCGCTTATACTGAAAACAGGTGCGCTTGTTTTAGCTGGAGCTGCCAATCGCTTACTACAAGTGGATGAGACTCAAGATTCAAGATGCTGGAAAGAGATGTCTGGGGAATCTTGAATCCCATTTGCCTCAAAGTGGCTTTAAAGTCACGCTTCTCAAGAGCGATATTCTGAAGGAAGATTTCTGATGAATCTTGAATCACAATACATTGAAACATGCAACTTTGGCAGGTTTGGGGAGGGGAGGCTTCTGACCCGTTCCCCTGCCAACCCAACGATAGAATAAACATGTTGGTACGCAAATGGAAAACAAATGGAATACAGGGTGGTTTCCACCTGCAGCATTTGCTACCCACCACCTAAGAACCGGATGTTGGTTCCCCTGCAAATTCCCAACAAAAAATGGTCTCCCATAGTTTGACCGTGCAGGAATTTGTCACGGATCCAGCGGCACCCTCACGGCCCCGCGTCCGATGAAAAGCTTCTCCGGCGCGGGATGGGCCCCGCGGCCCGAAGCAGCTCGCACGGAACCTACTGTGTTCGTTACCAACGGTGAGGAGACGAACCCAGTTTCCCGGCTTATAACGGTAGATTATAACCATGGCTATGAGCAGACGATCACCCCAGTTACCAATCACTTATAACACCATGGCTATGATCTACTTGCAAAGTTGGTTGCACGTGCAAGTATGAAACGAGCCCCCCAAGCACCCAGGTCCCAACCACTGCTTTTTGCCTTTGCCACCACCTCCAAAATCCCAAT